TTGGCCACTTTTCGTTCGGTTAATGGGAGAGAGGGGTTTGGCTATAGGTGTGGGAACCCCAGTGGCAAAGACAAGCTTATCTCGGCAGCCGCAGCACGTAGCTAATTCCACGAGAAATGAGATCGCATATCGGCAGCATACCAAGCACTGATGAACGAATCCACAAGCTTGATGGTGTATCATTGACATCTAACACCCAGGAAGGCACTTCTCCTTACAAGATGATGCCCACAGGAGACGGAATGCTAGACATCAGGCAACAGAAGAAGCAAGGACCCAGTCGTAGCGGGAATTCACAGTAGACCAATTGTCAGATCGCATCACAGTGATTGCCAGCAGGGTTCGCTCTGAGCCAGGGGCGAGCCCAGAGGAACCCCAATTCCACCCCAGAAGGAGTCTGAATCCTTATGTTAAGGAAGGTTCAACCACCAGACGGAAACACGCTCACCACCATCCTACTAAGGACCCCTAGCTTCTGATTACCCATGTTGTGAGTCAACTGTATGAGCCGGGCCAGCCAGCAAGCGAAAAGCCCTCCGAAGGATGTGCAATCTTGCCAAAGACAGAGATTGCTGGACAAAGGCCTCATGCCAAGAGCGAGATGAACTTTCTTTGAAAACAGAACCTGACCACGTATGAAAGCTGGGTGAAACCTTCCACAAAGGGACAAAAAGCGCAGAACACTCAAGACTACAAACTGGCGTGTACAAACTGACAGAAAGATTTGATTGGCACACTAGTGCAGATACAACAAGCTCGATTGCGTCGTCAAACGAGCCTTTACTTCAAAAGACAACGTATTCGACGTTTGATGGAGATTTTTTCCACCAGTGTTTGTGAAAAATGAGTTTCTATTTCGAGTAGTGCCTAGGCGTCTTGACTAGCCCAATTTGAATCTCTGAACGTTCAGAAGCAGCCCTCCTTGATAGTCAAAGACCGCATATCTTGCATCCGGGGATCTACGAGCGAAGAAATCTTATCACCTGACGAACAACCCAGAACGGATCAACGGTCAAACGGAAAACGAGGACATGATGCTCGCTCTGAACGAAGAGGGCTTTGTACGGGGTTGGAACACAACGCGCCGACGCTGCACTAATCGTCCTATAAAAAGTGTTGATTCTTCATCGGTGAACAAGGATCACCATAAATCGGACAGATGCAATCCTGATGTATTAATGTTCAAAAATTCCCTGATGGTAACATCTTTTTCTATCATCCCTCTCCTTATATGTTTGACTGCATTATGCTCAATCGCTGGACCATGATATGCTAATCGTTGGACCAGATGCACACATGATTAGCAGGCTAAAGAGTGATTTGTCAAAAGCATTTGACATGAAGGATTTGGGATCGGCAAGGCGAATTCTCGGAATGGAGATTATTCGGGACAGAAAGTCCTACAGGTTATGGTTATCGTAAGAAAAATATATTGAACGAGTTCTAGAGAGGTTCAATATGAAGAATGCCAAACTAGTTAGCACTCCGCTTGCCGCTCACTTCAAGTTGAGTAAAAAATCCTACCCATCAATAGAGAAAGAAAAAGGAGATATGTCAAATGTTCCATATTCTTCAGCGGTCGGAAGTTTGATGTAAGCAATGGTGTGTACAAGACCAGATATCGCTCATGCAGTTAGTGTTGTGAGCCGATTTCTGTCAAATCCCCAGAAGACACATTGGGAAGCAGTGAAGTGGATTTTCAGATACTTGAGAGGAACTTCAAAGTTATGTTTAACTTTTGGAGGTGAAAAGGTTGCACTTGTTGGCTACACAGATGCAGATATGGCTGGTGATCTTTGGTGATCTTGATGAAAGAAAATCTACATCAGGATATCAGGATACCTATTTACATTCTCAGTGGGAGCTATTTCATAGCAGTCAAAATTACAAAAATGTCTTTCGTTATCAATGACTAAATCAGAGTACGTTGCAGCAACGGAAGCAGGAAAGGAAATGCTTTGGTTAAATCGATTCTTTCAAGAATTGGGTGTGCAGCAGAAAGAATATATAATTTATTGTGATAGTCAAAGTGCGCTAGACTTAAACAAAAACACTATGTATCATGCACGGACGAAGCACATTGATGTAAGATATCATTGGCTTAGACTTGCCATTGAAGAGAAGCAGTTTCAGTTGCGAAACCATTGAAGAGAAGGAGTTCCAATTGCGAAAAATTCACACAGACAGAAATACTGCAGATATATTGACAAAAGGTCGTTCCAGAGGAGAAGTTCGAACTGTGTGTCAAAGCAGGAGGAATGGAGAGTCCCACCATGTAGTCGGGAGGGGGAGAATTGTTGTGGGCTCTCTTCGACATGTGGGACCCATACACATTTGAAAAAAAAGAAAAAAAAACAAACACGTTTTTTTTTTTTTAACAATCACGTGTTGTTTTTGTTAGTCAAAGAAAGGGAAATTCAAATGTGTGTGGGCTGCACACACGTTTGAATGAAGAAAAAAAATAAAATACGCACATTTTTGTTGTTCAAAGGAGGCAGCAAAAATAAAAATGAGTACACATTCTTTTTTTCAACAAAAGTTGGTGGATGCGTTGATTAAAACGCATCCCCTTCTCCTATAAAAAGGAGAAGGTTTTCCTTCATTAAGGCGTACGCGTACAAAAACATAGGGATAAGGAAGCATTTGAGTGTAAGAAAAATTTTAGGAAAGGGTGTCCTAAAATTAGGAAAAAGAGAGAAAAATAGTGTGGATTGTAAATTTTTTGGGGTGTTTTTTAGAAAAACCCTTAGAGTGCCAACTATTTTGTAAATCTCTTTTGGTACCTAACGATTCTTTTAGTGGAAGAATTATTCGGAGTTTTTGAGTCCCGTGGACGTAGCCCATAACAGTTGAAGGGTGAACCACGTAAATTTCGGTGTTCTTTATTTTTTCAATGCTTGGCATTTACGGTAATTTATTTTTAATTTTTACCGTGGTTATTATTTCTGGTTGATTCACAGTTGAAGGGTGAACCACGTAAATTTCGGTGTTCTTATTTTTCATCTGGCATTTACGGTAATTATTTTAATTTTTACCGTGGTTATTATTTCTGGTTGATTCGATCGTCAATATTCAATACGTAATTATTGGAGCATTTATTCTGCGGGCCCCACTCGGGATCAGTTATAATCTCAACAGGTTACTCATACTTGACCTGATGCCATTTTTTTTTTAAATTTGCAGAAAAATTAATTATCGGTATCGCTATTTTGTTGGTATTTATTGTTAATTTTATCGGTATTTTGTCATTAAATTAATTATTAAAATTAAAAAATATAATTTTTTATTAGTAATTTGCTGTTAACTTTAATGCATATTTTACTAAAATAAATTGATTTTGTTGGCAATTTATTGGTATTTTAAATTGGTATTTAAAAACAAAATTTTGACATTTAATGATAATTTTTATCGCTAAATTAAGAAAAAACAATAATGGGAGAAAGAAAAAAGAAATTGGCATTTAAAAACAAAATTTCGGTGTTTAGCCACAAAATTTGTTGCAAAAACTTTTCCATATAATTTGTTGCAAAAACTTTTCCAAATCTTGTCGCTAAATAACAAATTAGTGAAAAAAATATTTTATTTGTTATTGTCGCTAATTTGTTGGTAATTTATCGCTAAATTTCATCATTTACCGCTTATTTTTCTGACTAAAATTTTAAAAGTTTGTCGCTAATTTATCAGTATTTTGTCAGTAACATATCATCAATTTGTCGCTAATTTGATGGTAAATTTTTAAAATATACGCGTGTCTACAGCATGATTTTTACAGACAAAATCCACATTTGTCGCTAAATTTTATCGCTAACTTGTTGGAAAATCAGGCACCAATATTAGCAACAAAATTCAATTTCATCGGTAAATTTCGTCGGTAATTTTATTGTAATTTATTGCTAATGTTAGGCAATATTTTTTATTTTAAAATTAAATTTTGTCATAATTCATCACTAAATACTGACAAAAGCCTTTTGTTGTAAATTTTGTCAATAAATTCTAATTTTTTTGTAGTGTTTCAATCCAAGTTCTTGAGCGACTGGACTGCCTAGCGTTGATACGGCACCAATTGACCAGCATCATTAACCAGCTCCTCCCCGATATAGATTCCTCACAGTCCTAAAATTAGAGTCCTAGAATATGCTTATATGTATTTGTATTTTCTTATTTTAATTGTGTTTTCATGAAACTTTATTAATTGTGTCTTCATTTCCCTTAATGTTTAATATTTTAAATTATTAACTATTTATCATCTCAGATTATAATTTTAATTTATTAATCCTTTGCACTTTTATTATTTCTAATTCCATTTTATTTGAATCTTTTTCAATTTAGTTTTGTGGTTTCATTACATGTGTGACTTCCCTCCAATGTATGATGCTTGTGATTTAGATGATACCTACTCTAATATATGCCTAAGTTTTATTTGAATTTTGAGAATTATACCAAGATTCATGTCAACATTGAGGACAATGTTCAAAATAAGTGTGGGAGGCATGTTTTGAACTCTTATCTGAAACGATCTCTCAGAAGAGCATCTCATAGATCATTTGCCATTAAGTCCACTGAAATTCCTTGCATCATTCTTTTTAAACTATCCCCACACAATTTAAAAAATTCATGCATTTTTGCTGATTAATTTAATGATATACATTAGGAAGCATTACACTTTTGATTAATTTGCATAAATTTGTCTTCAAAACAGCTCAATTTCATTCTTAAATATTGAATTTTTGGTTTCCTTTAAGAATGAGATTTGGTTAACCTCTGGCCTCTAATCACTCATTTGAGTACATCCTTCTAGAAAATGAGATCAATATATAAATATCATCCTTATACATCAATATTTAAGGATGCATTCTACATACTAAATTTGAACATATTTCAAACATTCTAATAAATGTGCATATATGATATTTATATGCACATGCATAATTATTTCCCAAGATGCATGAGCATGGCAAAATGCATGAAAGTAATTTATGCTATGATATTAATATACTGACCATAGGTTTGGCCACGAACTGAATACCAGACTGTCGCTCCTTAAACTCCATGCCCAGATGAAGAGGTTTTCGGAACAGCTAACAAAAAAAAAACCAAACAAAACTTTAAACTCAATTAAACATCTGAAAGGGAAGTTCCAAGCTTCCCAAACCTAACCGTAGGTTAACCAAAGGTTAAAAACTTGATATGGAACTAGTGCTCCTCAAGCACGTGTCCTAATTCAACCTCTAACCAAACATAAACTAGGACCAACCAAAAACATAATTATGTAAAGGTTTAACCACAACTCCTACTCAAGTTCCTATGAAACTCAACCACAACCGCAAATCGAAAAGCAAGCTTAATCTAATTCAATCAACAACTAATTAATCTAGTTAGTGTGAAAAGAGAACTAATTCAACCACAAGGTAAGCTTTCAAATGGGAAGTTAAACTAATTTATTAATAACTAATTCAATTCATTTTAATCCAATTAAGCTTAATCTGATTCAACCGTAAGTTACACATAGTTTAGCAAGGAAGAAGAGCAGAGATATTGGACTACTTAATGTTGGAACACAAGGCCAAAACTTAAGCTTTTACAGATTGGTGTTGGGATATCCTCCCAAATCCCACATCGAATAAAAATGAGAAGAGGAATCAAAATATAATGGTTCAAACCCAACCCATTAGTATGAGGCCTTTTGGGAGGTGCCCAAAAACAAAATCCCACATCGAATAAAAATGAGAAGAGGAATCAAAAATATAATGGTCAACCCAACCCATTAGTATGAGGCCTTTTGGGAGGTTGCCCAAAACAAAACTGTGAAGGGCTTGAAACCCAACCCATTAGTATGAGGCCTTTTGGGAGGTGCCCAAAAACAAAACTGTGAGGGCTTGGCCCAAAGCGGACAATATCATACTAATTCGGAGTTGGGTGGTACGTGCAGTCCCATCAATTGGTACCTGGAGAGAGAACTACTTCAATTGTTCATTTGAAATCAAAAAATTTCCATGGTTAACTGTTTAAAGAGCGTGTAAATGAACATTTTTGGAGCTACAAAAAGTGGGAAATGTTGGGGCAGGTTTTACAAAGAATAGGGATGTCTAGAATCATAAACTTGGCAAACCTGGCAATTTAGGTAACTAAACTTGCAAATCCTATTATCGAAAATAATTTACAAGGTGCACTTTTGGTAACTAAACTTTGACAAAACATAAACGACAGATCCGTTGTAGCCTAAACATCAGAGAATCATAGTTTATGCATGCTAAATTTTAAAAACAATGTAACGGTTAGATCTTGAGCCATAAATAAAACATTATAGATTGCTTGAACCCCAAAACTCAAGCAAAATAGATGTGATGTATGAATCAGATGGGTAGCTAGAAATATGTAAATGAGCTCAAATTTGGTAGACACGCTCATAAAGATGTTAGCTAAGTTGTCTACAAGCTTCATACACATTGGATATCTAGATTTAAAGATAAGTCAAGATGTCCGAGTTGTGCAAATTCCAAGGGTCAATCGTAATTAGTAAATTCAGCAAAGGAATTTGGCGAGCAATCGGTAAGCTAAAACAACTTCAAACATCAATTAAAACTCCAAAATGTCTCATTCACACAATAAGCAAGATCTAACCGCTAATACACATATATAAGAGGAAATGGTATTACAAAGACGAATCTAAAATTTTTTCAATTTGATCACAAACTCTTTGAATTTTTCATTTTATTATTGATATAATCTCTAAGTAAAATCAAGATTGACTTTGTTTTAATCTTATCACTAGTTCACTCTCTTGTGAACTCATGTTTTAATTTACGAACATATCAATAAATATAAATTTTATTTTCAGACAAGAATGGATCAAAGATACAATTAAAAAGAATAATAAAGTTTGGGATATAATTGTAAGAAAGGAAAAAATATGTATAGTCCAATGAACCTATACAAATTAGATATGTATAGTGAGAGTCCAATAATTTCACAAACCAAGATTATGATTGGACTTGGTTTTCCCACAAACTCGATATCTATAATGTAAAATTTAATAAAAAAAATTATTCATAAATATAAATTTTTCTGAATCGCCACACCATAATAAAGCAGTAAATTATAATTATATTGTAACAAACATAAATTATAACTAAAAACAAAGCATTCCAGGCTCATCTAAGTTCAATAACTCTTAAACTACTTTAGCAAACTATCTATTTATATTTGGCTTTTCTTTCTTTGGAATATATGCAAAATTTACTTATATTTTATATAAATATAAGATATAAAATGCATTTTGATTTTTTATCTCATAGTAAAAAGAAAAGGAAAAGTATTATAAATAAAAAATATTATTATGATAGTGTCCCCTAGTGTTTTGCCTTTATTCTTATATTATATTCGTTTGCTTCTCAACTCTTCCAATTATGTATAGATATACATATATATTAGAAAAATATAAATATTCATTATAAATTAGTGATTTAGGTTGAAATTTTACTAAATTTAGTATTTCTTAAGATCAAATTATCAGTCATATAATCACATATAGTTGTTGATAGGAATTTATATTGTTCATTTAATTTTATTATATCCTGGAGACTATATCGCTTGCCTTTTTTTTTTTTTTTTTTGCTTGCTGGAGACTATATGCGCTTGGCCTTTTTTTTTTTTTTTTTGGTGTCATTGCTGATATATATGTAACACTGAATTAAAAAAAATAACACTTAATATTTCATAAATTATTCCTTTTTTTTTTTTTTTGTTGCATGCTGATATATATGTACACTGAATAAAAAAAATACACTTAATATTTCATAATTATTTGAAATTTAATGAAAAATCATAAGATATATTTTCAAAATCATTTTTTATTTTTTAATTTAATAATACCAAAAGTAATTAATAATAAATAGTACCAATATGAAATTGTCATAATAATATATTACATTTAATGATATTTCACTTCTCATTTGACAGATATTTAAATAAAATTGATATATAATTTAATTAATAATAAGTGTCAAAACTCTAGAATTATTGGGCTGCTTTATATATATGTAATTATGTACACATATTACCAAAAAATTATTATAAATAATTTTACTCATAAAAATTTAAGTAGATTTCACAATAAAGTAGCTAACTTTTTAATATGGTTAGAAAATTTTTACCCAGAAATTAGTAATTTTTGAAAGAAAAAAAAAAAAAAAGAGTACAGAAGAAGAAGAAGTTACCTGAGCGGAGAGAATGAGCTAGAAAGCAGTGAAGGAGTTCTCTCTCCATTTTGTGATTTTGAACTTTTCTTTCTCTCTCTATTTTGTGATTTTGGTCTTTTCTTAAACTCCTGAGTTCTTTCTCCATTTTCTCCATCACAACTCGCAATTCTTTTACCTCCTGTTTATGATCTTCCAATTCAGATTTTAATTGCATTAATTCTTTGTTTTCCATATTCTTCAATTTGTTGTTAGCATAAAAAGATCGCGGCACAACAGTATTCACAAGTTCCTCTGCAACTCGCAAATCACCAAAATCACATACATGCACACATCAAATCTACCATAAATAAATATAAAAAAAAAACGTACCTGGTAAGACAGTTTTAAGACCATAACGGCAGGCAAAAACGGTGGTATTCTTGGCAATATCGGCGGCAATTCGACGAGTATCTTCTTTCTGCAACTGCCGGTTTAGATTTTGCACGGCGTTACCGATCTGGCCGGCTGCAGCACATCCGTAAGAGTAAGAGGTGGAAGAGAAATTATAGACATGTTTTTTGCTATTTTGACTGACCGAATCGGCTGTTGCATAAATGAAATCCAAAACACCCATTAGAGAGTGAAGCAAATAAGCAAAATAGGGGAAGTTCAATTTGTATTAGAGTGGAAAGAAGAGAGAAGAGAGAAATGTATTAGAGTGGAAAGGAAAGAGTGAAGCAAAATAAGCAAAGCAGCGGAAGTTCCCAAATTATAGCATCTTCCCCCACGTGCTCTACATGCAAAATGATCATCTATCCCAAAAAAAAAGTGAAAAAGTTCAATATTTTGAAAATAAAATTATTAGTGGATATACACAGACTAGAAAGACTTCAAATATCAACCTATATAACTTTTTTTTGAAAACCGAAATATTATTAATAAAAATATCAGGAAAAACTCATCATAATAAAGCTATCTAAACCCGCTGTTAAGCCCCTCTCTTACATCCAACCTAGGCTCTATTATGCTAGGTGATAATAAATTATATAATAAAAAATCCGGATAAATCCTCTAGGTCTTACTATCAACCATTGTAATATATAGCTGCTCTTCCAATCAAATGAGCAACCATATTAGCATGGCGTCAAAGCCAAGAAATCGTAAAATCATTGCCCTGTAAAAGTACCGATTTACAGTCTAACTCAAATTCAAAAAAGCCTTCATCAGAGGTTCAAATTCGGTGCCAAACAAGTCTTCATCAACCTATAACTTAAACTTTTAATTTTAACGGATAAATGAGACAATATATACGCTGAGACCCGCTTCATATAGTCCTGATTCAAGTCTACCAATAACTTGAAGCAGAGCCCCAATCACATACAGTATCAAAAATTAGAAGGATTTTACCATATGGATGTCCTTCGGTTTATCTGTGGAGTTAAGATGAGAATCGAGAAATTTGCTTCTATAACCAAGCGGTCAAGAGAAGTCTGTCCTACATAGCTACAAAAATAACATGATAGACACTAAAGAAAGAACAATACTAATTATTCTCAACAAAACAACATTATTATGACCACCCGCTTCCACCCACAATTGAGGAAATTGAATAAAACATATCAAAGGAGCTATAGAATTAATAAGGAATAAAATAATATATATTGCCCCATACCTTCTTGGCAGTTGTAGAAAGGGTAATTTTCGTACCTAATTGTACAACTGGAATGTAAGATCCTGCTGCTAATTTTCTCACTGTAACAATTGCACCAAAACAATGATAATTCGAGTGCAACCGCATTGTTCAGCTTACTTCTCTTTCTTACAGAGTTACAGTCTTGTAAATTTTCTATTTTTATGTTATCCATGTAACCTATTCATGAAATTCCCTCTCTGTACAGTGGATGCCATCTTCAAACCATTATTTTGTATCTTCTTTTTTCTCGATTTTGATTTTTCATTGGTATGGATGATGATCCTCCCACCATGAAAGAATTCAATACTTTGACAAACTAATGTAATTGCTTCTAGTTAGACCCAAGTATCAACTTCATCAAATGGGTAACTCTAAGCCCATTTGAAAGGGTAATATAATTGGGCTTGAGTGATAAAATTTGTGACTTTAATGTTCCAATTTTCTGTGACAAAGCATTTTTAGAATACATGAATTTCTATATTCATTTTGTTTGTGTATTCATATATTTGTTTCTTTAAGTTGGCTGTCAACCACAACATTCAAGGAAGTTTTATCTTAGGATTTAGGAAGCCAAGCATGACTCAGTAATTATCCAATTCATTTTAAATGAATTGGCTGTTCTTTTAGGACTTAGGAGGCAAGAACTTTAGATGAACCTGAGTTTCTTTAACTGTGGATTGATGTGGGCAGAACTTATGAATTAGTAGTTGATGTTTTTGACTCTAATTCTTCTATTTTTACCCTTGAAAGTTGCTGTATTGTAGCAAAACTTGATAGCATTTTCTAAGGAAATCATCCTTATTTTGCAACTATAGACTATAAATCAAACAATTGAATCGCATATCAAATACTAAAATCCATTCAAATGCATATGGAATTTAGGAAATTTAGAAATAAAACATACTCTCATTAAGTGTCCAAACCACTTGAAGAGCAAGTGGAAAAATATCGAGCTCATGCAGCAAAAGATTTAATTAACTCAAATCGTAAAATCCCAAAGAAAAATTTTCTAATAGCCAAACAAAACAGAATTTCAGCACAAAATATTAAATTCTCAAACAAAAATTCACAAATCAAAACATGCACTCATAATTTAAATCCATAATGAATAGATTTGAAAATTAAAATCCCAAATATAATCCATATAGACAAAAAAAAAAAAAAAAAAAAAAAAAATAAATATCCATAATGAAATAGATTTGGAAAAATTAAAATCCCAAATATAATCGCATATAGACAAAAAAAAAAAAAAAAAAAAAAACCTTAATCCAATTAAAAATTTAGGTCTAAGCTCTGTTATTAAGGTCAAGGTGAAAATCCACATCAAAAAAAAAAAAAAAAAAAAAAAAAAAACCTAATCATTAAAAATTTAGGTCTAAGCTCTGTTATTAAGGTCAAGGTGAAAATCCACAATCAAAAATTTTCCCTTTTGTGGAGTAAAAATATGAAGCTGTGATTAGAAAAGAAAGAAGTTTCTAGAGAAAAAAAAAAAGAGAGCGAAGAGAAAAAGAAGGTGAAGTGAACGTATCATGGAGAAAAAAGTTCATAAAAAGAAGGAAGGGTAAAGTAGGAAAAACATAAAAACTACCTGGTTCAAGTGGAATTAGAATAGTGTTTTTGGTTTTTGTTTTAGTGTGTGTGAATATATATATATATATATATATAGCCTATTAGTATCTGGGAAAGTATTTTTTAATGATTATGACCCATATTATTTCCATTTTTAATTTAAATCATCAATGATTTTTTTTTTTCATTGTAAATGGCTAAATGGTGCACGGTTAGCTCATTAAATGCAAGGGTATCATTTTAAGTTACTTGGATTATTTGCGTATGTTTATCGACTAATATAGTTGTCTATATAAGCCAAATTCTTTTTTTTTTTTTTTTTTCTGACACATCTTTTTAAGTGTGGTCGCTTAACACTAGCCTAAAATTTAAATTTCAGAATTTCAAAGAGAACAGATAAAAAAGTTAGAGACAATCTAAGCCATTTTTAGTTCGGTATAATTATAAAAATGATTTTTGAACTTTTCATAATTTTTTATTTTGATGTCTAAATTGAAAACGTTTGCAATCAAGTATTTAAACTCTATAAAAATTTACAATCAAGTTTCTTGAGTCTTACGTAGCTAGCCAAAATATTGATTAGGACAATTGGACCCCACTCTCCCCTTCCACTGAAAAACAACTGAGTTTGCACCCCATAAGCATGATATGCTGATTTGGATTCAATTCATGTCATTCTCACATGTTAAAGGGCAAGAAAATTTCATTTTTGCACATTTAAATCCTTAAATAGAAAGATACCCAAAACAATGTCATTGTCTCCTCATTCTTATCTTTTTCCTTTAATCGTTCCACCAAGTCCAGAAAAAAATATCAACTATCATCTTTCTATCGCCGCCATCATCAACCTTGCCGTCATCTCATGATGTTTATGATCAAAAGGAAAATATGGTCAAGTTGGTCGCTCACACTACAGAATGGGAATCAAAAGAATGGATCTATATCAAATTCGATTTTTGTCAGAGGAATAAGAACTAAAAATCGGTATTTAGCTTCAGTAGAGGAATGAGAGACAATAGTTTGCCTTTTGCTTTTCTAAGAAATGGGATTGATGCCAAGAAATATACAATTCTCCGCGGTAGACTGTCTTGTCATAGGCCAACTTGCCCAATTAGAGTCACAATAGGTAGTGAGCGAAAGTGAACTAGATGAAGATAGAATAATGCCTTGACAAGGAGTTTTCTCGAGGTATCAAAGAAGACGATGAGCAACATCTAAGTGTGGCTTATGAGGTACATGCATAAACTGACTGAGAATATTAATAGAGAAAGCAATATCGGGTCTAGTGATAGTAAGATAAATAAGCCAACCAATTAGTCAACTATAGACAAAAGCATCTTCTAATAAAATCCCATCAGAATCTCAAAGTTTAATATTGAGTTTCACAGGTGTGTCAACTGTACAAGCACCAGTAACACCAACATTATAGAGTAAGTTAAGAATATATTTTCGCTAACTCAAATAGATACTTTTAATAGAGCGAGCTATTTCAATACCAATAAAATATTTTTAGTGACCCCAAATTCTTGATATAAAAATGGCGAAGAAGAAAATTTTTGACTTGTTGAATGAGTGTTTGGTCATTCCCAATAATTACCATGTCATCCGCATAAATTAGAAGAAAATAGGGGAGGATCTGCAACATGAAATAAATGAGTCATCAGCATGTGATTACTAGAAACCAAAATCAAGAATGACATGAGAAAATGTGGAAAACCAATTGCGAGGAGCTTGCTTTAGCCTATAAAGGGACTTGTGAAGCTTGCAAGCTAGAGAAGGCTCCCCCTTTTTGGATATCCCGAAGGTAGAGACATATAAACTTCTTTATTTAGCTCTCCACAAAGAAAAGCATTTTGAACATCAAGTTGGTGTAAAGACCAATTTTTGACTGCAGTGGCTAAAAGAACATGCACAGTCACTAATTTTGCTATGGGAGCAAAAGTATCATGATAATCAACCCCTTCAACTTGGGTATAACCTTTAGCAACCAGACGTGCCTTATATCTTTCAATACTACCATTAGATCACCTTTTTGATTTTAAAAATCCATTTACAACTAACTGGCTTCTTATCACGAGGAAGAGAAACAATAGACCACGTCTTAGTGTCTTCCAAAGCATGGAGTTTAGCATCAATGGCTTGCCTCCACTTAGGAAATTTAATGGCTTGGCTAAAATTTACAGGTTCAATACCAGAAGACAAAGAGCTGAGAAATGCACAATGAGAAGAAGTAAAATGATGATAAGAAAGAAAATTTCAAGAGGATATTTCATACCTGAATGTGATGAGAGCAATGATAAACTTTATACTTAGAAGGTGGGCAAATCTCTCATTGGGATCAGCGTAAAGGAGTGATAGGTGCATTAAATGAAGGGTCTAGAATTGAATGAGGTGCAAGATTTATTGAATTTGTGGTTGAAGAAGTAGTACCATGAGAGGAGAAGATGGAGGGGTCCACAATATTATCTTCTTCTATTGGAAATGGAAGAGGAATTGAATCTTTAGTTTGCTTCATGGACATGCATGGAAATGTTTGTTCATGAAAAATTACATCACGACTAACATAAATTTTGTGAGTGTAAAGATAAAAAAATTTTGTAATCCTTTTTGACCATATGGATAGCTAGTAAAAATTCCAAGTGATGCCCGTTTATCAAATTTATGTGCGGCATGAACATTACATCCTAAGCATAAACAACCAAATGCTAGAAGATGTTGATAAGCAATAACTCAATTGGAATTTTATAGTTGAGAGCTTTGATAGGTGTTCGGTTAATAAGATATGCAACAATAAGAATACATTCTCCCCAAAACTTTATAGGTAAACCATCTTGAAAATGAAAAGCCCGAGCCACGTGTAACAAGTGCCTAATATTTGTGCTCCACAACACCATTTTGTTGTGGTATATGAGTGCAACTACATTCATGAACCACACTAGGTAAATTGAAAAAGAAGTTGACAGCATTATTAAAAAATTCAATACCATTATCACTCTGAACTCGTTGAATTGTGGCATTAATTTGTGTTTTTATCATGGCAAAAAAATTTTCAATATAACAATAAACTTGAGACTTAGATTGAAGTAAGAAAACTCAAACACCACGAGAAAAATCATCCACAATAATTAAAAAGAAATTTGCATTATTTAAAGAAGAGGTTGAATATGATCCCCAAACATCAATAGGAATAAGTTCAAAACAAGAATTCATTGAAATAGAACTAGTAGGAAATGGTAAACGAGTTCATTTTGCCAAAAGGCAAATAAGACATGGATATTATTAGAAAAGTAAATACTATCATCTAAGGTAACAAATTATTCGCAAACATGCTGACTAGGATGTCCAAAATACAAATGTCAGATATCTATAGTTGAAGTGCTTGCAGCAAGGGAAATTGGTGTGAGGTTACTGGAATTGGTGTCAAAGTAATAAAGACCACCGTGCTCTTTAGCCAAACCTATCACCTTCTTCATCACTAGATCCTGAAACAAACAAAAATGATAAAAAAAATGAACTGAACAATGAAGTGTTCTGGTGATTTTGCTAATGGTCATAAGATTATACTTGAAGGAACATAAAGAACAATTTTTTATAGGCATGTGCGAGTTGAGTTGACAAGAGCCTACATAAGTAACTAGAACTTGGTTCTCATTAGGCAATTTAACGGGAGGACTATGATGATCACAAACATCAATTAAAATTTTTTACATGATGTGTAATGTGATCCGTGCAACCTGAATCGGCAATCTAAGTATCATTTGGATAAGAGGAAAAGTATGAAAGTTTACCTGCCAAATTGAAAAAGTGGACTAGAGGGATTGATAGAAGATAGTTGTATTAAGGCTAGGATTTGTTGGATTTGTTCCTAAGTGAATGGCAAGATCATTTTGTGAACTCGAGTTAGGCGTGCCTTGATCGACTGCAGCTGGAAAAGGTTTATGAGTTTTGTAACCAAAAGATGTATATTTCTTAGTGAATTCACCTTGCTCTTAAACATTTTGATTTTGTTTTGAAAAGATTCTTGCAGACCAAAAATTTGGATCATAGTTTGCATTTCCAGGCTTCATTCGGCAATGAGACTCGAAAAGACCATCCTTTCCACAATAGTTACAGTGATAAGGAGGCTTGTTTCCTTTTGATTGATTCCGTTGGGCTGCACTAAAAAAAACACCATTGGTTGAGGTTGTCATGGCTGATTCGTCTTAATAGCTCACTTTATTAATCATTTTGATGCACCATTGCTAATTTTTCTTAAATTTCTTTTCCTAATCTTATATAGCAAGATTGGTATTTACGTAATTTTTCACTGTTAAATAATTTATACAATGACTAACTACTTAAAAGATCATTCAAAAATAAAATAAACCAACTTCATAAAAGAAAATGATGAATATGGTTAGAACTTTGTTCGAAGGAGGAAATATAAAGGTGTGCCTAGAATTACAAAAAGAAAAGAATGAAGTTCGAGGGAGGAAAAATATAATGGTGTGGCTGGCAGTGATGGAGAAAGTATCAAGTTTGTTAATAGTTATAAGTAAAATAATTACATAAAAATATCAGTTTTAAAAAATAATTTTCATAATTGTATTTTTTTTTATAAGAATAATATAGTTTAAATATAATATAAATTATGAATAAATATAACTTAAAAAATCAGCTATAAGAATTAATTAAAATTCTTACCAAATAAATCCTAATTGGGTAAAATCAATCTATCATAAATACTTGATCATCATGGAAACCTAAATATAAATATATACTTGATCCTAGCTATAGTGGTAACTCAGCTTTCGATTTAATTATTCAGGACTGTAAATCTCTTTTACTAGAATTACGAGATGTGAATCTTGAGTTTATTCGCAGGTCTGCTAATGGTGTTGCTCATAATTTAGCAACAGCGGTCACTAGTTTGACAGACCGGGTGATTTGGTCTACTCATCCACCCTTATGTATCTTTGATCTATTAAGACTTGAAGGTCAATAAAATGGTCTTACAATTTTATAGCAAAAAAAAAAAAAAAAAAATTATAATGCTATTGGTGTTTGCTCATAATTTAGCAACAGGCGTCACTAGTTTTGGAACAGACCGTGGTGATTTGGTCTATCTCATCCGCCTACACCTTATGTATCTTTGATCCTATTAAACGACTTGAAGGTAAAATAAAAATGGTTTCGACATTTTATAGCAAAAAAAAAAAAAAAAAAATTATAATTCACAATCAGCGGCCCATTTACATTGAACATGAATTCAACAATTACAAACAATGATAATCTTTCTTTCCTTACTTATTGGGTATCACTCCAAAAAAAAAAAAAAAAAAAAAAATTATAATCACAATCAGCCATTTTACATTGAACATGAATCACAATTACAACAACAATGATAATCTTTCTTCCTTACCTTATTGGGTATCACTCAAAAGCCAGCCAGCAAATGACATTTTCTGAGGTAGAAAATGGAAATGGTGAGCAAAACAATTATATACTAGCTGGGAGATGGCGAAGATGCGCTACTTGAATTACTATTATACGGTGTCCAAGCATAGATAAACAATCCCATAACAAGGATGATGGCTCCTGTGACGAAGCCAGTTGGAAGGGAAGATGCAACCCCGAGATATGGCAATGGTAATGTGAACACATACACCGATATTGGCACTGCCATGTAAAGTCGAGAGAAAATGAACATTAATCAGGTTAATTTTGGAATAAGTATAAATCGAGAGAAAACATTATTGAATATTGAAAAAGGAACATGCTCATGCATTTGATAGCCTTGGAGAGCTAACAACAAAACTAACATGAAGTTGATATTCAAACTCTAACAATGTTTGGTATGACAAAATAAGCAAGAAACAAATCATGTCAGCTTGTTAAGCACGCATCTTATCTCTAAGAGTTTCTCAATTGAGGAGTATCTCATGGGTGGCAATACTAAAGTAGCTGAAATAGCAGTAACAGGGTCCCATACTTTTTTATTAAATTTAAGAGTTGTTAGCTATTATTTCCTTTTCATTTTTCTGCAACATTTTGTGCTGGTGATTGAATTGGCTACAAAGGAAGTAACTTTGATGGCCTGAAAATGACATACCTGAGAATGTGGAAGCAAGGGAAGATACAACAGCAGACGAGATCTTGAGCAGATGTAACAATGAAATGTTAAAACCCATGTTCACAAGAACAAACAACAAAGGTAGCAAGGGTGCACCATCACATCCTGTGGATAATAAAATTTGAAAGAAGAAAAATGAATCATACAGTTAAAAGTCTACACTAACTGCGTCATAAGATTCAAGACAAATGGTAGATTAGTAAATGAAGCGGCTCAACTACTAGCAATTTGTATTTTTCCAATTACATGTGGGCAACCATATATTAGGAGCAATAGGGTCTTTGACTGTACTTTACACGCCAAATTAAAGTTGACCACATTCTGGAAGTAAGGCATTTTTAGTGGAAGTGAGGCAATGCCTAGATACAAGTCGATACCTTTGCTTAGTTTTACATTTGAAACCATATTTGGCTGTCATTAAAACTTCCATGTCTTAATTATTAAAATAACCATCAATGAAGAGAACACAAGGAAATTGAATAAAACAGATCGCTAGATTCAATCCCCAAATATTTACATAAAGAACCAAAATGTCATAATGATAGAAGTAGTGAAATCAATATCACAATGTAGCTCAAAGAAATCTAACCAATTTAATCAGAATTAACTTTAAATTGATTCAATTAAATGATTTTTTGTACAAATTATTGCAAATCGTGAAAGCATGCCAAAGATGAATGCTAAAACAAACTCAGGAAGCGAGCATAATAAATAAAAATCTTGGCTTACCAATTTTATTTTTCAATTTTTGAGAGGAAATTGTGACTTACCACCTGATAAACTACCAATATTCAGAAAACAAACAGCCCCATCTCTAAGATAGCTTGGAAGCTGACTAAACGGTATACCCCATAATTTTGACATGAAAGGAAGAAGAAGGCATATGAATAATGCCTGCACAAAATATAGGTACCAGAAACTTCAATTTAAATTTATGCTGCAATCAAACTCAATAATTATAAACAGTAGAAAAATTTAATATTCTAATTCACTGTAGAGTACCTACTTGGAAAGCAGATCCAAAAGAATTTACAACAAATAGATCCACTGAACCTCCCTGCAATTGATGAGGTAGCATCATAATCATCTTAATCCACCATCAAAATCTAAATAGAAAAAACAAGAGAAATATATATGTGTGTCTATTTTATTATATATAAATAGTTGGGTGGCAGCTTACACAGTGGATCATTTCCAAATAGATCTGTATCACCTTGCTTAGAATGAACCAGACTTCTAAAGAGCAATACAAGTTTGAAATTTCCTTATTATTTCTAGTGGGTTCACATTTGAGGCCAAAAATACAATTTCTCCTACTATGTAAGTATTTTTAGATGCAATATATGATGGATAATCACTTCTTTCTGGAGCAGAACCACTCCTGAATCCCGTAATCACTGATTTTGGGAATCAAATATTTCAGCTAATTTGCAGAACATACCTTTAACTGCCGAGCAGCATCCAGGAAAATAAATTCCTATAAATTAAATGAAGTCTATTGTTAGAAACTGTAATACAGCTTAGTAATATGCAAGAGCATTAAACTGTTAAGAATGCTGACCTTGAGCACCGTATCAGCAGCTTGCAGTAGAAAAGAAAAAATCATCAGAAGACTCCAAAATATTCCAACTTCCTTCACAGAATTACCAGCACTAGATCCACTGGATAAGTACACAAAGCCAATGCATTTCAAATGTGAATGTTGTGTGGGAAAATTTGTAGAATAACTTTTGCAATTATTGGGCTTCTGATTGATAGACTACAACCAATTTTACTGGAACCCAAAATTTTGATAGATAATTATCATATGAAAACTAGTTACAGTTATCTAAAAAATAGATTAAATAAATATCACTCGTTATCAAGAGTAAATTACAAAATACATATTCATGTCCTCACTTTTTGGAAAAGTAGACAAATCTTCTCATTACCTCTTTGTCCTTCACCTTTCAAATGAGGTAACTTTTTGTCTGCCACATTTTAGATAAAACAGCATTTTAGTCCCTCACCTTTTAATTTTTTAGGGATTAAAAAAGTTGTTTCGTTTAAAAACTCAATGACTAAAATGATGATCAAAAAACAATCTTAGGGATTAAAGTGTACGATATTTTAACAGGAGGACTAAAGAGAAATCAAATTAAAAGGTTACAGATTATTGAATTTAGCTTTAGAAGCACAGGGACTAAGGTATGTATTCTGAAAAACCTGAAAGGGCTAATAGCATGTATCATATTATAAAAGAAATGTTAAACTGGTCCGAATGTGAAATATGTAGAACTCACAAACTCTTGAAAAAAGTCAAACAATCAAATCAATTTTCAAGTAACTCAAATTCGAGGGAAACCGGCCACTTACTTTGACTGCCGTATAGAGAAACTGAAAGAAAGCTTTGGTAATCCTGTGGTTAACTTAAAAACTAAAATGGCCCATTTATTAAACTCAACTGAAGATTTGATCAGGTTTGTTCTTTAAGTTTTCATTATCTGTTCCTTATCTTCCTTTCATTTATCTTTCTTCCTCCACACCAATAACTGCTAACTAGTACTTGAATACATGGAGTGCAAGAATTAAATGAGGAATGACATGCCTGACATTTGATCATTTCACCATACATAAAGAATTGTAGAGAAAGTTAATACAAAGACCATCTTTTCGGAAAAACTTAAAATATACCATATTTGCTTTCATATTTTTCTAAGGGAAAATTAGATAGTCATATGCCAGAAAATAGGGCTGTGATACCCAGCTCTAAAAGTCAATCAGCTTTGGTTCTTCCAGTACATAACCGTCCCCAGCCTAGCCGATTCAAAGGGGTAAATGGTGTTCTTTTATTGGTAGCATTCAATGCCACAAGTTTATTGCTTTACTGACTTTCATTCAAGGGCTGTCTTAAAATATCTAATTTTTGTAACTTATTCTCAATCTACTTTTTATGCAATAGCCTGACTTAAAACTTTTGACTTTCATTTCTTTTTAGTGTCCACTTAACAGAGGGAGCGGGAGAAAGAGAGAAGAATATAACAAGAAGCAACTGCAATAGGTAAATGTTGCAAAGAGAAACTTGTAAATAGATTGATACTTGAAAGCACATATGGTTAGGGGAAGCCAATTAATGAGCACGATACTCACCTTGCTACAGTTATGATTACACCAATGGCAACAAGAAAGCATCCGAGTAACTGATTAATTTTATATCTCCTCCCAAGAAAAATAATTGACAGGAGAATCTGCCACACAAGAAAAGTCTGCAGAAATAGAATAGCCAATTAATTATCCAAGATTTTCATTTAATGATTGGAAAAAAAATGTTTCTTAGATAGTTTTGAGCCCTCGGAGTTCAATGTTTCGATTAGAAAAGCAGATTGATTGTATCAAGCCAATGTTCAAGGGATAGCATAATATCTTTTGCATGACATGGAACCATAAAGTTTTTTTCTTTTCAACTAATACTATGTAAGAAGAGAAAGCAAAATGGAAAAATAGAGAGGGGGAGAAAGAGGAAAAAAGAAAGATGAAGGGGCAAAGTGAATCTGCAAAGTTCTTCATGATGCACAAACACATATGTTCATTGTGCTTTGCTCTACCGTAATCTTTTCTTTTTTTCCCCTCCCATTGGTAGTAGCCTACTGGTCCAGCCTACACAACAGGGAGCGAATTCTCGTCCATAAACCCCACTGTACAATATTCACTCTTTGCAACATCTTTCCTTATGAGGGAGTTGCTTGCCTGGGGATTTGGTTCAGGATTGACTTGCACAAATATTTATAACTAAGTACGAAAGCCATTAAACCAATGACTAGTTGTATTATAATAATTTTCTCTTTTCGGTTTCATATAAGCAAAGCAGAATAGCTAAAAGTGATAAAAGAACAAGGATGCTGCAAATACTAAGAGTTGCAAGTGAAAGTATACTTACTAAATGTTTATACCTGAGATAAAATTGGAATTGATGCTCCAGAAAGAATAGCTGGTTCAAAGCAAAGAGCAAATTAAAAAAAAAAAAAAAATACGCATAAGTTTATACTGTAGTTCATATAGCAAATTCACATATATTGAAATAAAATAATTGTTTTAGCAATCACCTAAAAAATTTTCAATACAGCAAACAAAAAAGTTAAGGTTCAAAATAAGTAAAAAAAGAATAACCTTCAGACATGGGATTACAGTTCCACAAAAACAAAGCCCCCTGAATCCAGTGACGAAAAGGTTTTCCAGCATGCATATAATAATTGAAGATGAATGGACCAGAAACTTGTAATTTCAAATAACCAGTGGTCATAGGCTAATTAAAAATAGTAAACTTTCATTTCAATTGGTACACTAGGAATTTTTAAATGGGGTGGGATGCCAAGGATTGAACTGCACAGCAAGATACATGCTTGACCAATACATTACTGATCCAAAGGCCAGTCAACTTTATTCAGATGATTGAAAAGTTGGTCAACAAATCAAAACATTTATAAATTTTCTAGAGAAAGATAATGCATTAATTACATTAAACGATGGTTATAAATTTCCCAGAGCTATGTTGGCAAAGAAAGTTTTGTAAACTGCAATGCCTTCAATTGAGAAAATTGGATGGAAGGATTTAGAAAAAATCAGAAAGTACCTTTAAAAAGTATATCAAGTCTCAATAACAGATGCATTAAAATCTACATATAAAAGGCAGTGAAGTGAGGAAAATAAGAAAAGATAAAGACTGATGAAATTTGTACTACCTGCAGCTGCCATTCCTGTTGCAGCTCCAAGAGCCTCCAAAAATCCTACAAGAAGAAACGGAGCTTTTGGCATAGAAAGCATCTCATCTGTGACAAGTCCAGCATGGTACCGCATACGCAAGATAGTGAAGTATACAATAACATATCTGGAACAAAGAAATAAACAAAAGCATTGAAGATATGAATCATTTAATTTTATCCTACTTATGGAGACACTTTGTACATCCTTCACAGTAATGCCTTTAATTACATTACATCTAAACGTTTCTACGCTTCAATCTACTCAGTAAGTAAATAATAAGAAATGCAAAAATCTTATTCCAAAAAAAAAATGCAAATCTTTTTAAACTTAAATTGATGAAAGAAGAATAGAAGAGAGAAAAAGAACACAGCATTATTCCTTTATTAGCAATTTACCATGGCAAACTTCAGAAATGATAAGCAAAATTACATAGTCAAACTTTACGTTTTGAAAATTATTTCTACTAAGCTTCATAAGACCTAATTCCACTTCAATACCAATTTATTTGTGCAAACTTCAAAGACAATAAATTTTCATATTCTTTTGATAATAAGGCACAGGTCAACTTTGCAATTATTGAATTAAGTCCATTAATCAATTCGCATACTTGGGTTAGGAGCAGAAGCATTATTCTAAAATTTATATAGCCCTATCCCAGAAAAAAAAAAAAAAAAAAAAAAAAAACCAAAAAAAAAAAAAAAAAAAAAAAAAAAGGAATTGAATAAGGGATATGAGCGTGACTTCGAAAGAAGTAAAGGGTATCTGCTGAAATTGAGCCAAATGTGATGTGAAATGCAAAAGCTGCACCGGGACGACAAACTAAAAGCCAAAAGGACAGAAAAGAGACTCTGACTAACACGTGCTCACATCATAATAATAAAAGATGCACCAACTTGCCCACCACAAGTGTAATAATATCTACCCATAGAATGAACTGCCGGTGAATATATCTTTTTCTCCTCTGTACGATGGAAAATCTATGTGGCGAGGCACAAACGTCTTTGACTCTTATTGTGAGGATCTCATTTAGATTGGACCCACCAATGAAAGGGCAGGAATCCAAATTTACTTTCTTTTCTATGTTCTAAATCAATTTTCTATTTCTTTCTTCCTTTAATCTAAGGATGCCCCGGAAATTCTCAAAAAATATTCCTCTCTTACTTAAGAACCAAATACAGTAAACAAGAAAAAGAAAGGAAGTCTTAGTTTTTCTTTGCTACGCAACAAATTCTCAAAAGAGAGAGCTGGATAACAGTGAAGAATAACCTTTAACCCTTTATATCATGACGAGGCAAGACTTGATTATTGAATTATGGGGACTTTCTATTCCCTTCTATATTAATTTTATAAAAGAAAACAAAATTTTGCACAAGTACCAACATTTGAAAGATACTATGAAAGATACTAAACGGTATTTTTTTTTTTTTTTTTTCAAAAGCCAAAGTTGTAAAAGATCACAAAGCATTTTAAAACTAATACCAGGAATTAATTTATCATGGATCTCACATCACCTCAAAAAAGAATATTTTACACTCGTTAGGCACTAAACTACAAAAAAGCTCACTCTCCTTCCCAAATAGAATATTCTCTATTTTGGTTTCCACTTTGTGGAAGTTACCAGTATTGCATATAAACTAAAAAGGGTTGAACAAAAAGAAGGCTGCTAATGGAAAACTAATAATTTCTAATGATCTTCCCACTAAATGCAAATGGACCATCAATAAAATATCAATAAAAAGTATTTTTATGTTCCATTACAATGATTCAAACCATGAACATAAAATGAGTCGCTTTAATTTCAGAACTAAAATTAAGATTAGCTAGTGCTTTCTACATAATCACAGTCATCACTAAGGAGCCCAACCCATGTTTTGATTAATAATTTCTAGTTAATAAAACTATCAACTCAATATTATACACATTACAATAACAACAATAACAAAATCTTAATCTCAAACTAATTGAATCCACCATAAGAATCTTTTATCATTATATTTGCTTGAAAAAGGCAAAAAAAATTATATTTGCTTTGAAAAAGGCCAAAAAAAAAAAAATATATTATATACTATATATATATATATATATATATATATAAATAGATAAAAAAAAATAAACAAGCATAGGCAGTAAATTGAGATATGCTATATGAATAATTTTTTCTATAAATCTTTAGCTATCCCTTGCCCCCATGCGGTTCTCCTCCCGTTTATACACAATAATACACAAATTTTTTTAAGCCTGTGGAAAGATTCTATAATTGTTTGCCAATCATCTAATTTGACAATTTCAATATTTTTGAGTTAGAAGCGTAATTAACTTGAAGATCTAAAGTAACTAATTTCTAATTAGTGAATGAATTAGAGGTATTAATTAATGAGGAATCTAATCAAATTGATTTAAAAAATCTTATGTAAATATTAAAAAATACAGTGGCGGCTATCAATCACATGGACCTTATCACAAATTTTAAGTAAACACGCATCGGTTGATAACTTGACAAGAAAGATCAAATATACCATCAAACAGACAGTTCTCATATAGTATTTTAGATAAAATTTAATCACATATTGCTTAGAACATTTTGTTATTAAAATGAACTAAAACTCATCGATTAGTAAAAACTTTCTTTGAAGTTATATTATAATATTAGTATTAGTTGTATTATATATTAAATATTAAATTGTATTATATATTAAATATTAAATTGTATACTATTTATATACTAATATAAACTATATACTAATATAAATTATATACTAATATATAAATATAAATTATATACAATATATAAGATCATTATATTATATAAATAATATATAATATATATAAAAATAATATAATATATTAAAAATCATCAAAAGTAATTGTAAATAGTGGTTTGATGTTTTTAATTCACTTTATATAAAAAATAATATATATATTAAAAAATCATCAAAAGTAATTGTAATAGTGGTTTGATGTTTTATTCACTTATCATTCAATGGGAGTCAGACTACATAAGTATAACAATCTAGAAACTGAAAAAATCCCAGAAGGGAAGAGGAGATTAGATCAACTAACTTTAAAGAAAAAGAAATCACAAAAAATAACTTGAAAATGGTCCAAGAAAGTAAGAAAGAACGGGAAAAGTGGGGGGAAATGGCTAGGCGATAGAATCTGCAACAATACAAATCCAGATGCCACGCGTAAACGAGAGAAGATGATTTATTTAGACACGCGTAAGACACGCCTGGGAACTCTAACCATTTGTGGTCCAGAAGCAAACAAGAGGTGGTCATATTCATATTTAAAGCAAAAATGCAGAAATACAAATTTAAAAGCATTAGAAAATCATTAAAAATAAATTCATATGCAGTATTATTTATTTTATAAATTGATTAGCTTTATATGTAAATATATGTCATACCCAGAACATTTCCAAAAGCTTCCACAGCTAATGATAAGTCCAAATACCCAATTAAGGAAAAGAAAAAGAAGCGTCGGAGTGAAAGTGGCCTCAGCATATCATTATTAAATAATGGACATGAAAACAGAAAAAAACAAAAAAAAAACACGTTTTTTAAATTACTTTTATTTTTAATATTTACTTCTAATCGAAATATAATCCTTCCTTTCGCTTTTTTACTCTGCTGTTAAATTTTTTTTTTTGAACATTTTCGTTTTTTCTTACTGTAGGAAAAAAAAATTAAAAACGAGTTAATAGATCAAATATTAGGGATGCAATAATGCTTTTCAAAAAGGTCAGGATTGGCTTAATAGAGTAATGTAATACTAATTTTTTAGTAAGAAATTATTAGAACACTGCTTAGAAGAAAGAGGAATAAGCAAGTAAAAAGTACCCGAAAGTAGCGAGCTGAGCGAGAAAGAAAGGGTAATGTTTGAGCGGAACCAAAGCCAACTTATACAACACACGATTCCCCACACCTAACACGACCGTAGCCGCCGCCGCAACCGCCACCTCTAACTTCTCATTCTTACTTGTCTTACTACCACTACAATTCCTCCTCCCAATATTATTTATCTCCACCGTCCGATCGCTATTCCCATTCTTCTCCACCACATCTCTTATTGCTGCCACCTGATCCCCAACCGAATACGAGCATGGCCCTACCTTCTCCGCTTCATTCCCGCCGTCTGATCGGTCCCACACCCCGCTGGGCCCAACGGCATCAATTATAAACGATTTAGAATGTTTTGGAGATCTAAAAATAATTCTTAACTGTTGATTTGCGGAATTGCGGTCGAAAGGGAGAGATAAAGTCTCCGGCGTTCGTAGCCGGGAATAAACCGACCCGGTTGGTACGGTAAGTCCGGTAGTTATCCGGCGGTGACATGAAGTCATAGTAATGTTAATATTTTTTTTGTATCGAAATAATTTGCGAGACAGAGTAGAAGATGCAGACCGTAGAGAGAAAAACGGGACAGAGAGAGATGATTTGAAGGAGAGGGGAAGGACGAAATTTTTTTTTTTTTTTGAAAGAAGGAAGGACGAAATATTTGTTTGTATGTTTATATGAGTCGAGAAAACAGTAGTAAATCAATGTACTTGTCAGAAATTTCAAAAATGCCCTGGAATTGGACTTAATTGCAATTTAATGTCTTTCTGTTTTTTTTCTCCGCTTTCTTGTTTTCAAAATTGAAAAGGTAAAATTGATGTGATATTGTTATAACTTGCAAGTCAAAGTTGGGCAGAATCTAATCAATTACAACTGAATAAATTGAAATTTTATTATATTTAGGTCAAATTAATTGATTAATTCATATAATTAGATTGAATCGATTAAATAATCTGAGTTGATTTTTTATTTTAACTTATATTTAGATTAATTCAGTTGAATTTTTATTTTAATAAAAATAAATTAAACATCAAGAGGTTTCGAATTCTAATATTTTCAACCATAATTTGTTAAGGAAAATACAATCTCTATTATGTACAATATAGTGTTATTTTTGTCCATTCAGTCTCTAATAAATTAAAATTTTTATATGTTAATAAATTATTAAAGTTTAACTAAATATTTTTAATTGAAATGAGTTGAATCCATTGGTTTATTCCGATAAAGGGCTTTCTAATTTTAATATCAAAAATTAATTTTCATAGGAAATTTAAAATCCAGCTAAGAAATTTTTCTACAAATATTTAAAACAAAAATTATGACAAAACATATCATCATCGATAGTTCAATACAGATAATTTGTCAAGTAATTAATTGAATGACATTCAGGTAGGCATCATTGATAGACCAACTAGTTTACCGCTTCAAGGTATTTATTTCACCCGGTAAAATTGAGGGGCGTGCACGCAACCTCGGAAGTCCCAACCCTTATCGAAATGGGTCTTGAATTTTTCATTTCTAAAAGTATTTGATATCAATTTTTATAGTTCCGTAGTTGCTAGAGTAGCCACACTTTTCAAATCGAATTGAAAATTAACGATTTCAATTATATTTTGAAATTAAACAGTTATAATTTTAATTTAATTTTTCAACGGTTCTAAAATTAACTGTTTCCACCGATTCTTCAATTAATTTTATTCTGCCGCATATAAATAAAAAATTAAAAAACTTTTTTTTAAAATTTAATTTTAAAAATTTGTAAAATAATTTCTAAAAAAAAAACTTTCAAGAAAAGATAAAAAAAAAATGCTTAAACTTAATTTATTTAAAAAAAAGACTTGAACTTAATTTATTTTTTTTACAAAAAAAATTTTGAACCGGAGGAATTAAAGTCTATGTAGTTTCTATTTACCTTATACCAATTTCACTCTTTTACCTTACTTAGTCGTTATTTCCACCCTTTGATGTTTCCGTTAAAGACTCATCGTAAAGATCATATAAATCTTCATTTTCTTTGATATTCTCTTGTGCTCATTCGTTCGACCTTGCTCTAATCATCCACGCATGATTGTACTTCTAATGAATCACGTGTCATTCTAGATCGTGTTTCATCAAGTATGTTTCCTCCTTGATTAAAAACTTGTTCAACCACAACAGTCGAGACCGGAGCTGCTAAAATTTATTTTGCAATTAGTGCAAGGGTTGGAAATATATTGATGTAACGACTCCATCAATCTAGAATTGAATAAATTATTATCTGCAAAACTATCACCAAACTCGAAAACAGTGATAAGATAACTCTCAAGTTCGAAAAAAAAATTGGATCCCCTAGATCTTTTTTGTCTTTATAATAATATATATTCAGCAACACCAACACTTACCTTTTCGGTTAGGAATAATTGATTATTAAATTGAGAACAATAAGAAGAAGTAGATGAACCAAAATATTGAACAAATTTAGTATATAATTCTATAATTTTTTTTTTAACTTCATGCAATAGTACAATTATATTAACATTATTTTCTATATCAAGATTTAATATTTCATAATAAATAGTCAAATATTCAAATAAAACTTCAAATTGACACCTATTATCAAATACACAAGCAACAAAAAAAAGGGCTAGTGTATTTTTAAAATAAGATAACCATTTTTATTTCATTGATAAAATACAATTTTTTAATAAAACATCATGTTCAAGTTCTTGAAGTACAGTAACAATATTAATGCATATAGACAAAAATAAATGAGACGTAAGATAATAAACTCAACTAAATTTATATGTAGCATCATTAAAAATTTTTAAAATATCCAAAATTTTTGCATAAATCTCCCAATTTTATGGATATAAATTAATTTCTTATATATTGTTAGTAATAAATATGCACAATAATTCTCTATATGAAAAAGACTCAGTTTAATAATTCATAGGTTGAATTCCAATGAGTTGGAACATCCCTTAAAAAATGTTTTGGTCTTTTTTTTTTTTCTTATAAAATTTAGCCCAACTTTTCATCATTCGGAATGTCCATAAATATAAAATACTTTTTCATCACATGGGGGATTTGCTAGCACTCTTTTAGCATAAATATTTAAAATTTTTTGACAATATTGATTAAAACTCACTTTTTCACCAAAATTAAAAGATAAATGTTTCGTAAAAATCATTTTAGTTAATTCTTCACTTTGTTGTTTTTCTTGAAATAAAGAAAAATTACAAGATGTGTATCCGAAAATTTATGTTTGCAATCAACTCCTATTTTTGTTGGATGTTTTGTCTCCAAATGCTTCCAAAATGATCTATAACTTCCCGCTTGTTTGCATTTATAAAATGTTCCACAATAATTGCAAATTACATCGAACATTTTGTCGATTTTAAATTTCTTCATGAAAAATGAATGACAAATATATTGAAACTTTGTCTTGCTCGTCGAACAACTTGTGGACCTTAATCTTCCTCTTGTTGTAAGTTGTCTTTATTAAATTCGGATTCTTGAGTTGGAATTTCAAATTTTCATTTGGATATTCCTCAAGATCAAATTGGTCGAGAATGAAATCGAACATATCATTCGTAGGTATAGATGAATTTTGTGTTTCTCCAACCTTTCCCTTACACTTAACGGAACTTGAGTTTCCTCTGCTTGCCATTATAGGATAATAATATGTAACTTGAAAAAATTGAAAAAAAAATAGAGAGAATAATTAGAGATTGGGATTAGGGAAATTAATTGACAATAATTGGAAATTGGACTTTGGAGAAATTATTTTGCAATATTGTGGACAACAATTATAAATAAAAATTGGAGAGGTTGTAGAGTAGAGAATAATATAGAGTGGAGGTAATTTTGTGTGAGGAGATTGTAAATCAACTTTCCATAAATACCCTTAAAACTAGCCGTTTTATAGCCGTTTATAGTTTTTTTTTTTTTTTGAAGAAATACGATTTTATTAACTTGAATAAAAACAAAGCTGCTCATGTGAGGCACTAACTCACTCTTGAACACTAGCATATTTATAGGAGGCTCGAGCTAGATTAGCATATTTATACAAAGCCGTTTATAGTTGTTATGAGGTTAATTTGGGAATTTCACAAAATTATTTAGAAAGATAAAAAATGCTACTAGAATCGGGTGGAACCGCCAGTTGTAAACTGTGAAACCGTCGATTCTAGCCATTTGAACTATATTGTTTAGAACTGCCGGTTCGAACCATCGATTGGAACTGTCACTTCTAACCGGCTAGAAAAATCGTCGGTTCCGATCGATTTTTGGAACCACTGGTTCAGGGTTACTCAAATGTTGGAACCATAACCAAACCATAGATCCCTAGTTTTGGTACCGATTCATACCAATTTCGGTCCCATCGGTTCTAAATTGGCGTTTCGGTTCCGAAAACTGGGAAATGACAACCTAACGCACTGTCACCAATCTCATTTTGAAAGTAATTATTGAATGAATTGATCCATACCAACTCAAGTTTCATCCTATTTCATCCCGTCTTGAAAATCTTCTCATCCCACTTTTTTTTTTTTTTTTTTTTGATTCATACAATTTCGTCCCATCGGTTTCTAAATGGCGTTTCGGTTCCGGAAAACCTGGGAAATGACAAGCTAACGCACTGTCAACCGAATCTCATTTTGAAAGTAACTTATTTGAATGAATTAGACCACCAACTCAAGTTTCATCTATTTCAATCCCGTCTTGAAAAATCTTCTCCATCCCACTTTTTTTTTTTTTTTTTTTTTTTTTAATTCCTAGATTAATCTTCTTTTTTATGAATTTTAAATATAACTCATAAAACCTCATTTTCATCCTTTTTATTTTTTTTTTTTTTTTTTTTTAATTCTAGATATCTCTTTTTTATGAATTTTAAATTATACTCATAAAACTCATTTCATCCTTTTTATTTTTAGTTACTTGCTAAGGTAATAATAATATGAAAAATAAAATTTTTCCAATGTTATTCTATACTATGTGTTAAATAAATATTTCTAAATAATTTTTTTTCTATTAAAAAAGAAAAAAAAGATTAATCAATACAACAGAAAATATTAATTGTAATTAATATAATTACTGGATTACTCGTTATGCTTAATGCTAATAGTATTATTTAATTTTCAGATGATATTCAATAATGAATTAAATATGTATCAAATTTAAATAATATTAAAAATAACAGCAACAAAAACAATGATAACAATGATGAGTTTAAATTCATAACATACATGTAAAATTAAATTGTATCTAATTTTTGAGTTATTTTGTGTTATTATATTTAATACTTTTATTAACTAGAAAGTAACTACTAACATATCTTTTATTATGATTTTAGTAGATCATCAAGCATTGAATTAATTTTTGATTTATTCTTTTTTTTGCCCAATATAAAATTTTTTTATTGTAATTGACGAGTATAATAATTTTAGTTTTTTTATGAAAAATAATTTAGTAAGATTACGGAAAAATCTAATTGATTCCCTACCCGACCCGTTCTATTATGTCTCATAGATCCAAACTCCCTTCTCTTTCTGTTCCAAAAAATGGGACGGGACTATATACCTATTGAAATGAGATTTGGATATTTAGTATGGACTCTATGAACACAAGGAATAAATTCATTGGCCATTTAGACATATATGCACCATTAAAGACTCATTTTATATTTTAAAGGACTAAATGGTTCAAATTATAATTTGGCCTTAATTAAGATGCTAATCACTAGAGTAAGTGATGGGATTGGGTTAATTGAAAAAATTAAATTAATTAAGTAGTTAGTTGAATAAATAGTAAATTATAGATTAATTAGGTGATTAATTGAATTAGTAAATAGTACTCTCGTTGTTTTATATAGAAACAACTAATAGTTTAAGAAAGTAATTTAACCAACTTTTTTTGTCACTTTTTCCTAATTTACCCTTAATATCTCATTTATTCCTCCTCTAATATCAATGGATGCCTTAAATTATATTTCAATATTCAATGAGGTTTTAAATGCTTGTTGGAATGAAAAGAATATAAATAGTTGTAAAAATAAAGTTTATGCTCTTAGTTGTGGAGAGAAATTCATTTGGTCCTTTATTTGCATAAAAATATGAAAATTTGTGTTCATTTAATCTTCCAATTGCCTTTAATTATTGAAAATGTATTTTAAATATTACGCAATTTTTTAAATATTCGGTGAAGTTCATAAGAATTTCTTTCAATATAGTCAACTTTTTTCATGGCTTTTTTCTATTCAAACTCCAATTTAATCGATGCTCATATAACCTATACGAGCACATTTTTTTTTCAACGAAAATTGATATAAAAAATCCATTCTTCAAAATTTATTCACATTAAATGCTCATTTATACTTTTGTCTACCACTATTTTAAGCATATCCCACACTAAAACTTCACAAAGGACTAAAACAATGGTGAGATAGATTTTTCATTTTGGCATGATTTCTAAAGTTATCAAATTAGGCAAAATTTTCTATATAAAAAGAACACTCAAAATAAAAATTTTTCCTGTATAAAAGCAACAGAGGGAGTAGAATAATATGGTTAGTAACTCAATTAGATGGTTAACTAGATTAATTTAATAGATTAAATTAATTTTGGATTTAATGAAGCTCCTAAAACCAATTATTATTGGAAAATCATGCATGTAGATTATGATTTTGGAATTTATTAAGTGATTCATGATTGCCCCGAAAAATATGCCTATTTGGAATTTGTGCCAAATTGCGAAATTATGTGGTGATTAATGTCTTAAATGTGAAACTATTCATCTAAGTGAATTTGCGCCAAGTTACTTGTCCTTCTTCATTAGGTATGTACATATTATTAATTATTTGTATCTTTTGATGAAAAACTTCCAACCTTTATTTATTATCCACCTTGTCACTTTTTTTTAGTATAAATGATTAATTATAATATTATATAATTAATTACGAGATTGATTAAGTGATGTTTAACTAATTAAACAATAATGGTTCTTGGATCATAATGATCCAGATCAGTGATTGGTAGGGTGGAGGGGTGCAGTCAGTGATTTTGAGGAGTGATTTACATATTATTTTGAGTCGTTGCGATAAGCAGCAGATACAATAAGCTGTTATGTTGTGTTGGGAGCTGTGGACTGCCCGAAATAGAGTGGTCTGGGAAAATAAATGGTCGACAGCAGGGAGTATTCTCATGAAAGCATCTGGTTTTTTGCATGAGTGGAAAATATCGCGGTTGCATTCCATTGTGTATGCTGAGCCCATGGTTGATTTGAGAAAAAATGGAGGCCTCTTACTGCTGGGATTAAATGCAATGTGGATGCGAGGTTTGATGAGAGCACAGGAGTAGCTGGTTATGGACTCTTGGTCCATGATAGTATGGGTCGGTGTTTAGGAGGAAGAAGCCAATGCCTGGGTTATGTGCATAATTCTTTAATAGCGGAAGTTATGGGGGTGCGGTGCGGGCTGAAGGACAAATATTCACATCACCATGTTGTGCTTGAAACAGATTCTTTGTTGGTAAAGCAAGCCTTAGACAGTAATACGGTGTATTATTCTTATTTTGGATCTTTGATTCATGATAAGTCTAGAAATTTGATTCATGATAAGTCTCTTTCCAGAGCATTTACTTCATTATCTTTTTTGTTTGTTAAAAAGTCAGCGAATCAAGCTGCTCATACGTTAGCTCAAGTTATTATGGTCTAATATTACTATCAACATTGATAATTATTTACTTTAACAAGAAGTATCAAATATATTACATATCTAATATTTTTGTTGTGCCACAGAAAGTACAACCATTCTGTTTTGTTTTCTCCCCTAAAGATGATTTTGCTTCACAGAAATAAAATAATGGTTAACATTTTGTAGAGATAGTCCGGTCTGATCTCTCGTTATAAAAATGTGTATTGAATTAAAGTTTTACTAAATTTTATAAGAATTGTTGAGTTTGACAGAATTGAAAGATTTTTTCTGATTTCCACATATTTCACTAGAATTTTTACATAGAGTTTTGTAGAATTAGTGAGACTTTTTTTTATAGATTTTGAGGACTTTGATGAATTGCAAAGATTTTTATATAATTAATCAAATGACAGGCATGTTATTTTAACAATTAAAATTTCACTTTTGATATATTTTAAAATCTATTTATGAACAAAAACAATTTTATTCATATATCAAATCTTATTAAAACTAATTTTAGAATTTGTAAAATTATTTATAAATCAATTTTACCAATTTTAATCATATTAAAATTAATAAACAATTTAACTTATTTCCTAATCTAATTAGAATTAATTTACTAAATAATTTTATTATCAATTAAACTCTTTTAATTTTTCTTTTCTAACTAATTTAGAAAATATTCTGGAATTAATTTTAATTTATTGACAATTAATTTTAACAGCCCGTAAAATTTAATTCCAAATTACTTAAAATATCCAATCAAAATTACTTTTAGGATCTAATCGAACAAATTAAAAGATTTTTTACCCCAATGAAAACATTGAAAAATAATAAGGGATCAAAATTCAAAATACGTTATTTTCTCCAAGATCGATTTCTTCTTTGTTAAACCTCACCGCCTTCTTTGTTCATTGTTAAACCTCACCACCTTCTTTGTTCAAACCTTACCACTGTTGATAGGAAAATGCCTTCTATGGGGGCGGCAACTCTCAGAACGGACACGATATGATCGAAAGACCATAGGCTTTTTATCCCTTGACTCAAGGGCGACTATCAACCACCGCCAGCCAAGAAGAAGACGCACATCAAGATAGGTGCAATCCACAGCTCGGTGATCTAGCCACAATAATGACAGATTGTGCTTCAGTTCTTCGACTATTTCAAAACTTTTTCTTCGAATATTCCAAAGCTTTTTGAAATAAAATTTTTAAAAATAATCAAATTAATTTCAAAAACTTGGCTACAGTATTAATGTTAATTTTTGTCAAAATATCAAATTCTTAGTGCATGAATTAATGTGAAATCAATCCAATAATTCTCAGATGAGAGTCAATCAAGTGGGAGATGAAATCCTTAAGTTCAAAAATGGATTTATAAATGACTCTTCTATTTATACCTAGCATTCTAAAATTCAATGAAATCAATAACTTTATAGAAACTTTTCAAATCAACAACTTTTTAGATACCATCAAATTTGTATGGAATCTTAAAAAATTATAATTGAATACCATAAAATTTTCTAACAGTCCTAATCCAATACACCCCTAAATCAATCTTTTGATACCTTTTCCCATCTTGCCAAAAGCAAAAAATCATTATGATTTTTTTTTCAATATATCAATAAAATATTTCTTTTTCAATTAATGCTTAGGTCTTAGCTTTACAATGAAGCCTCTAATGAAATTAAAAATAAAATATAAAATATCATTAATTGTACAACATACACTTCAATCTGACTTGAAAAATAATTCATCTACAAAAAAAATATGATCATCTTTAAAAATAATAATAAAGCAAGAAAGTTTGTTGATTCTACTTGGTATTGGTTTGATTGGTTCCAAATGCGTACCTTGGCGAAACTTGAATCGGACTGCTAAAATTTGAGTTCGAATCAATTCAAATCGAATTTGATCGATTACTTGCCATTGCCATGTTATGGTACACTACAAGCATCAAGATCCTCAGAAATTCCAGCTTTGTAGGAATAGGGATAAGTGGATACAGTTGCCCAGTGCATTGCTTCTCAAATCTCTAGAAACCAATCAGAAACTGCCTCCCATCACAGCCATCTAACATTGATCTTGAATTTCCCAGGGTTGAGAAGCCAGCTTTGCTCCCTTCTATACTGTGATCAAGGAGGATAACAAAGCTCGACTTTGTCGCGAAATAAGGATTGGTTTTCTCCTTTGAAAGACAGACTTGTTGCAATCAAGCCAAAGAGCTGAAGCTGGCGTTAGATCAACCTTAAGATGTCAAAATCTTATCTCCTCTGTACTAGCTACTTATATATGAACAGCTACTTCAAAATCTTCAGCTGGGTCACAAACAAGTATGTTGGGAAAAAGTTCCAAGAAGTCATCTTTCACCTTCTCTCTTAAATCTGGATATGGAATACCTTTCAAGATCACTCAAAAAGGCAAAGATGATGGAAGATCTGGAGATTGTCTCATCTCCTCATATATGTCCATTGCTTCTGATGGTAACCCACTATCTAGGAATGCCCTAATGATGTCCCCAAAAGTATGTTGGTCAAACAAGACTCCCTCCCTCTTCAAATCTTGCCAAACCAGCTTCACTTCATCAACCTTCCTGTTCCTTGCAAGCATCATAAGCATGTCCCTGTAGAAGAACATATCTGGTCAATACCATATTTCTTTCCACACAACGTCATACAACTGAAAAACATACAAAATACGCAAAGTGAATACTTGCGTGCGCCTAAAAGGAGTAAGAAGATGAAAAGATATTGCAAAACTACAACGCAATATGCACATTTATGTCTCTTGAAACAAAGTAGGTACAACAATCACTACAGGAATAAATTCAACACAACTGTGAGCTCATTTGTTAGAAAGGATAAAAGAGAAATAATTCATTTACCAATTATATATTGGAAACAAAAAGCATTTTAATTGTATACTGAACAAATCACCAAAAGTCTCCTGCTTTATGCTCATCATGATTGTTAGGACACCAGGAACATAAAAGGACACTATCTTCCTTCATTCTTTCACTTATCGTTCACTCCTCACAAAATTTATTTTTTTAAAGTTAAGAATCTGACCCGGAACTTCAAGTTTTCCATAGCCGCAAGTATAAATAATACAAGATGACAAATGCCCAGACATTTAAATTACATGGCTAAACTGGCTAAGTTGGAGGCAGTCTCCAATTGAAATCAGTATTAAATTGATTACATTGTGCAATGTAATCAATCATTGAAAGCTCACCACAGCTCAAAAACACCTTTATCCAAACAAATCGGCTTTGACAACATATATCTATTCCCTTCATACAGAGCACCGCACACATAATATTTCAGAGATATAGAAGTCTCAACTCATTTAATGATTATATATGCTTTGGGAAAAGTGTATATTTCCCCACAACAGGTCAGGTGAAAAAAAAAAAATCTTTCTTTTCTTTTATGAAAAAATTACAGACAGATCATCTTCCATTAAATTATCTGCTAGATATATCTCACATCATTTTCCAACAACACTGAACTAAGTAACTCGCAGTGGGAATTTTAGAAATTATTTTCCCGGGCCTAAAAACTCACTTTAAAGACAAAAAATAAACTCCTTGGTAGAGTTTTACTTCAACAACTGAAAATAGTTGTTCTCATATTGGACTATTTTCCCCATAGGTGGTGTATTAGTTTCTGTAAGCAAGATAAAGTTTTGAGTTTATACATTTCTTAGTTCCATCAAGATCACAATAGAATACAAGCATGCTACAATCTAGAACAGGATGAAATCAAATTGAACATATTGAATACTGAAACTATAAACTAATAACTAAATAACATCCAATTGCAAACGATAACTTAAAAGCAAAGAACTGTAAGAAGGATTCCCTACTCCCATCTTGGCCCTTAATCATTTTATCAGAATTGCAAAGCCAATAAAATCCAATGTAATAGGTTTCACTTATTAGATATTTTTTCAATAACTTTTGACCTCATTTTACACTCCATTTAGTTACCAACAAACTTAGCTCAATATTCAGGTCAATTAGAAATTGAATGTCTTTTGAGCTCCTTGGCTACAATTAACCTCTCTTTGCCCATCTCTTTCTTCTCCTCCATATCAACAAGCTAGGCTTCAAGGACAAATTAGAAATGTGCCGTGAAAGAATAAACAGCTATTGCCATTTCCTCTGGTCTTACTGAATTAATTTTAGAGAACAGATATGTTTGGTAATGAAGGTTTTCAAGAGGTGAATGGGTGACTGGAGGAGTTCTAGATGATGCTGATGACGAAATTCTCCTCAGAAGATTTGAACGCCACATAGAATAACCAGGGAGACAGCCATTTCCTGTTCACAGTTCTTCCCTCTCCAAGGAAGGAAATAAGTACAAATACATTGACCTATTGAAGTTAGTAGTTACTTTCAGCTGGGCAATGATAATTTTTCAGGGTTTTCAAACCCTTGTGAAGAAAATCATAATATAGATAAATGCTCAAACAAACTGAACAACAAGCAAACATAAAATCAATGAGTATTAAGAGATTCAAAGTTTCAGGCAAGTGGATTTTCCGGGTTTTCGACATTTAACATCAATACTTCAATTTTCAACCTTTCAAAGGTTTGGCCTATTTCAATTTCTTCAGTATTGCATTTGGATTCAAGTGTATATATATGAAATTTGGATTTCAAATATTGGATCCAAAATTTGGAACTTGAAAGTTATAAATTTAAAATTCTTTGTTCGGCTAACAAAAAATTTCAAATTCTGAATTTGAAATTTATTGTCTATAATTAACTAATGTATTTGGTTTTTTGTCTTATATATTCAGTGTCATACATTCACGATCAGCTTAATGGAGAGTCTGAGTTCTTGGTGCTAAATCCTAAGTCACTGAATCCGTGAAGCTGCCCCTTCCTTATGGGTTCCATTGATTATTTTTTAGGGAAAATGACTTGGAAAAGACTGTGATTCATGGGAAATAGCATTGCACATGTAAATTATCACAAGGAGGCTGAATTCAGTATTTGACTTACTTCTTTTTTTTTTTTTTTGAATAAAAACCATGCAAAAGCCAAGGCCACAGTGGGGAATCCAGAATCAAAAGAGAGCCTACTAGTTTAAAATATAGAGAATTAGCTAAATTGGACTTAACCACCTCATCTGATCTAAAATCCGTTGTACACTTTGAATGCAGTTAGCAAGAATAGAAAAAAGATTAAAAAAACTAAAAAATCTTCCACCAAAAAGTAAAACAGTTCATTGACAACATGCATTATCATTTATTCAAATCTAAAACTATTAAAGTGCTCTCATTGCTAAGAAGAAATTCTATCCACTCCAGATAAATGTTATGTACACTTATGAGTAATTTATACTTATAACCGGCAATATCAACTAAGAAGCAAATGCAGACAGGGTTAACTTCAAGACGAGTTAAAACTATTGAAGACACCAAATCAATGCTCATGAGTGTAACCCACCAATAGGCTTATAATTTGTAAGAAAACACAGCAATTGCAGTATCCAGGAAACATGTCACTACACAAGTCATCCAAGCAAGAATTCAAGAATGATACAAGAGAGAAATAACACTACTCACAGTTTTATAGTTTTGCCCGAAGCTCTCCTTCTTTTCCTGGTATCTTGTCGACCGTCATAAGGTTTCTTGGAATCCACGAAATATCTAAAGAAAACTAGTTTAATAAGAATACTCATCTATTTGTTAGTTTAACATAATTCTCTAGATTTCATTTATCCATTCTATTTTATTTTAGTTTCCTTATCATACCATTCTAACCTCTATGCTTGTCTCAATTACCAAATTAACTTCTCTAATTTTATCCTTAACTCATTTTAATTGCCTTGAATAAAATCCTGCAACATTTCCCATTTAAAAAGCAATTTCTACGTTCAGGAACTTAATAAATGGGATTTACCGAAGAGAACATCGTGGGTGACATTTCGTGGTCCGAATTGTTCTGACGATGGGACAATATCAAGCTGCATGTGCCTAAAGTTCTGGGTTGGAATCTTGTATTTTCATCAACAACTCATTGCATGAGATGCTTGTCCCTTCCGATATTTTTGGGGCAAAAGTTGGCAGATGCTTCACATTGAGACCCATTGATCTATGACATAGACAAGCCAAGATTGTATTTGTTATCTCCGAGTCAAGATTAAGTCCCTTGTCAGCCATTTGACAAAGCAAATTTATAATCTCTTCTGTTTCACCCATTGAAGCAAAACATTTAAGTAATGAATCATACACATGGATACCAGGAATAAAGCCAGAGGATATCATTCTATCAAAAGCTCCTTTAGCCTCTTCCAATTGTCCAAGTTTTGATAACCTATTTATTAATATAGAGTAAGTAAAATCATCAGGAGTCAAACCCAATTCAAGCATGTCGTTTAGTAATTCTTTAGCATATTCAATATCCCCTGCTTTCAGAGTCACATCAATCATTATATTGAAAGAGACAGAATCCAATTCATAGTTTGAGTTACTCATTTCTTCAAACAACTTCCTCGCCTGCGCCAAGCTGCCCTCCTTGCACAAGGATGCCAATAGCATATTGTAGTCAGACAACAAAGGGCTAAACCCCGAAGCTCTAAACCTAGTAAAAAGTCCTTTTGCAAAATTAAGCATACCAATTTTACAAAATCCAGAAACCATGGTTCTGTAGGTAAACGAGTTTGGAACAAATCCCAATTCATGTACACGTTTCCACATTTGCATAGCCTTATTAATCATTCCTGCCTTTATATATTCCCCAATGAGAATATTATATGTTACCAAATTACCGGAGCTCCCCTTCTGAATCATAATATCATAAATCTCAGCAGCTTCATCAAGCCGACCTTCCTTGCATAGCCCATGAATTAGATAATTAAACGTAATCACATCTGGCTCAACATAATTTCCATCCCTCAATACAGCACTAAAAATTTTCATTGCCTCATCAACCTTACCATTATTGCAAAGTCCCATCAGTAAGGTATTGTAACATACAACATTAGGTTTCTTACCCTTCTCCAACATCATTTCAAAGATTTTAAAAGCATCATTGATGAGGCCTTCCTTACATAGTCCATTAATTAGAACACCATATGTTACAGGACAAGGCTCTTCACCCTTTTCCATCATCAATTTAAACAAGTCTATAGCCTTAGCACGTTTTCCATCTTTGAAAAGACCAGAAATCATACAATTATAAATATAACCATTAGGGCGAATCCCAATTTCTGCCATAGTATTTAACAATGCCATGGCTTCTTTCCATTGCCCCATCTTACTATAACCATTGATAAGCGTGCTATAAACAACAATATCCGCCTCCAATCCCTTTCTTTTCATCTTCTTTAACAGCCTCATCGCCTCTTCTACTCTACCATCCTTACAAAGACCATCCATCAAAATACCATATGTAACAGTATTTGGTTCACAATTTGTTCCCTCCATCTCAACTAACAAGTCTACTGCATTTTCAAAATTTTTCTCTTTACACAATCCACCTACAATAGTATTATAACCAACAATGTCCGGCGAAACAAGGCTTCTCTTCATTTCTCTAAGCAAATATATAGCCTCAAAAGCCTTACCATTTCTACACAAACCCTTCAACATAAGATTCATAATATACGAACTAACAACAAAACCACGCTTTAAAATCAAACCCAAAACCGCAAAAGCGAAATTTAGCTTCTGGATATGTACAAAACAATCAATTAAACGACTCAACGAAATAAAACTAGGCAAAATACCCACGTGAGTCATCTTAATATAAACTGAAAATGCCAATTCATAGTTTTTAGACTTTACCAGAGATGCTATAAGAGAAGTACAGGCTGACTCGGAAAGAAAGAGACTTGAATCGATAGCTCGATGAAACACAGAAACTGCTTCGGATAATTGAGGATTGGGTTCCTCACAGAGAAATCTCAATTGGGCTTCTACATCAGAAAGCGAAGAGAAGAGCTTACAGTGGAAAGAGTGAATAGGAGAAAGAATATATTTTTTAGTTCGCAGAATTGAAATCGACAGTGATCGTTTGATCATTTTTAACAGTATATTGAAAGAAAAACTAAAGAGAAAAACAGGGTCCGCTAGGTCAGAAAAGCGATAACTATAAATTCTCCCCAAGTAGGTTGTACCTACGACCAGTCAGACCAGAGATGGTAGCTCGCAGGCGAGTTAGATAGCTGGAAGATTTTAGGGTTTTGCAGAGGAGACAGAGAGAGGAGTTCTGGTTTTGGCGTTTAAAGCAAGATTCACCGCAAATAATTTAGGGTACGTTTCGTAAATTGAATTTTACTTTGTTAGTGAGAAAGGAATACGAGGCGTGAGACCGTAATTATTGTTGTTGAAATCATATTTTAATTCCTTATAGTATTTATTACATTTAACAAAATATTTTGTTTATCATTATAATTTTAAAAAATAATATTTTTTTATATATTTACCCTTTGTATATGATCAATAATAATTATTTTAATTTAAAGATTTTCTTAGAGAATTAATATTAAATTAAAAGTAATATAGTCAATTTATTCAATAATTTATTATAACTTTAACAAATTTAATAATTTTTTAAGAAACGTGAAATTCTAAATGTAATAATTATTACGGAATGGAGGTAGTATTTGAGAAAATAATTTGTTCTAAAATTTTTGTCACGTTTGTGATTTCAATGAGTAATAAATATTTTTTTTCACATTTATCCTTTGCATATGACCATAATTATTATTTTAATTTAATTTTTTTTAAAGAATTAGTATTAAATTAAAGGTACATAGTCAATTTACTCAATAATTTATTGTAACTTAAACAAATTTAATGATTTTCTTAAGGAACGTGAAATTCCAAATATGATAAGTATTATGGAACCGGGATAGTAATATATATATAATATATAAGCATCTGAGTTGTTATTCTAATTAAGGAATTGACTCATGTACAAATTAATTGTAATTTTGCGCTTCGCTCGTGGGTATTTATATATTATTTGATATTATCTTTATTTTGTAATACTTATCACATTCAAAGTTTCACGTAAAACCATTAAATTTGTCTAAGTTATAATAAATTATTAAATAAATTGATTATATTATCTTTAATTTAATACAATTATCTACAAAACCATTAAATTGAACTACTAATTATTAGTGTAAATATGAAAAAAAAAATTTACTTTTCGAAACCACAAATGTGATAAATATTTTGGAACGAACTATTTTTATCAAATGTGATAAGTATTATGAAATTGAGGTAGTAATACTTTAGTAAGTTTTTAATTTGCATTTGTATTGAAATTTTTTTAATTTAATAATAATAACAGGTATTTATATATTACTTGATAATTATTATCATTGCTTTATTAAATTTTTAATTTGTAATATTGTATTGAAAATTTTTTTATTAATAACAATAATTAACCTCTATATCTATAATCTATCTATTGTATATATAAAAGTAGGAATGCAGAACATTGGATCATAAAATGCCCTATGAACTTTTAATTTTATTAATTGCTTAAAAATATCATGAATGATAATTTAGTCCTATTCTAATTGGAAAAATTTTAATTTAATTGTATTTTATGGGTTAATTAAAAATATCATTAAAGATCATATAATTCTATTCTAATTAGTAAACTTTTAATTTTATTGATTGATTAAAATTATATAATATTCTATTCTACATATAATAAAAAATTACAACTATTAAAGGAAAAGCAGAGAACAGATCCGTTTATATAGTAAAAATCAACTATACAAATTAATTTTGGGTTCATTATAAATTTTGTCTGAACTTTCTAAAAAATTATATTTCAATGTTTCAATAAAAAACTTTTGCAATCAAGTGTTTGTATCCATTAATTTTTTTCAATCTAATGTTACCTTATTAGGTGGCATGTCGGAATTACTAAGTAAGAGACACCAGCCTACTTGACGTTTATTTGCTGATGAGGTTCTGAATGGGCATGCCACGTTGGATAACGCAGATAATAAAATGGATGGATAAAGATTGCAATGACTTAATTGCCCTAATATATATTGTTGAGGAAAGTGAACCGACCAACAAGAGTTTCATTATTTTGTTTTAGGGAATAAGGATTGAAAGCTATACATTGAAAGAACAGTGAAATATCTCAATCAAAATCCATTCATTGATAATTTCACTGCTGAGAAAGGACGGAGATGGCTGTGTTGTGCTAGTGCTAGTTCCTCTTGTTCCCATAGGCAGAGGTATTGAAACTCCAGTTCTCGTTTTTCTTTTATGATTTTTTTTTGGTTTAATTGGCAGGATGCAGAAGTTCCATGGCATCTGATAGCCATTGCGATATTTTTACCTTGATCAAATTGCCATTAAGATGAATTTTGACGTTGGGATATCTTTGTTGACAATAGAAAAAAGAAAGGAAAAGTAGAATCCGATAGTTTGGTGTAGTTGGGTGGCAAGAAGCTACAGCGCGGCACCGCCACACACCGACCCTATAGCCATTAACCAACCATTTCTTTTTAAGTTTACTAAATATTCATCATAATTATCATGCCAAGCAATTGCTTCTACTGTTAATTATAAAATCACACACTTTACTAATGTGGTGCCATGGTATGCATTTCTGGCTTGCCACGTAGCCAACAAACACTAGATTGAAAAAAAAAATAATGGTTCAAACACTTGATTGCAAAAGTTCTTCTATTGAGATACAAAAATAAAATTTTTTTAGAAGTTCAGACGCTAAATTTATAATTAATCCACTAATTTATATATTCAATACGAAAAATTATAATTTTGTCCATGTAATTTGCCATAAATTATTAGTTTATCCTTATATTTTGAACAATACACTACGATATCCTAATGTTTTTCCCTTTATATAGTTTTGTCCTTTCGTACATTTTATACCATTTTAGCCGTTAAAAATAATAGAAAAGACAATAATTGGTTTTTTTTTTTAAAAAAGGAAACCTCAAAGCATTGCAGTAAGAATTATAAAAAGGTAACAACGGAATAGCCTCCTAAACTTTAAAACGAGCATGATGAAACGGGCAAGGGAATGAGCTCTTTCATTAGCTTGTCTCCTACACCATCTAACAACAATAAAAATCAGGAACTTTCGAGGTTAACTCATAAAGGATCAGCTGACAATCAGTGTAAACACAGCCAGGAGAGAGCAGATTTTCAGAGACACATACTAAACAAAGTTTTTCCTTCTCGCAAACCATTAATAGAATTATTTTTCCTTCTCCCTTTAATATAATTATGAAAAAATTGGGAATTACTATTACCTTTTTGCAACCAAAATGCCTTAGCTTGCTGCCTTTGAGAATCTCCTCTCTTTCCAATATGCCATTCCATTCAGACTTGAGCTTGTTAAATCTTCATTACTCATGAAATCATGTTCCCCCTCAAGGACTCGACTGAGCATTCTTTTCCAAAAATGGATGTCTCGGTTCCTGGTTCGACCCCAACACTGCAATACTCAAATGCGATTATCCCTCCTATCCAGAATAGAATCCGTTTCGCCACCAACCCAGCCATATTTTACCACCTCCCCAACATCTTCCTCCGCCAACCACGCATTATCAAACTTGAAAAATACGAGCCATCACAGCCCCTTCTGTCGCACATGTATCAAACAGAATTGGCTTATGATCCAACGTGGGTGCAACTAGAGTACGACTGTTTAGGTCCGGAAACAACTCCCTCAACCCATCATTCGCAAAACAATGATCCAACCTCTCTTGCACCGCCACCTGACCATTACGACGTTGAGCCCATGTGAATAAAGACCCCGTGTGTGGCACTTCCAGTAAGTTGCTATGATAAACAACACTTTGAAAACCTTGAATCAAATATTGTGGTTGTATATCCCCTCCAACCTTCTCTTCCTGACCCATAATATCATTAAAGTCCCCTAAACACACCCAAGGTCTGGAATCCCAACTAGTTAAAGCCCTTAACAAATTCCAAGATTGCCGACGAAACCGTTCCAAGTACCCATAGAAACCAGTGAGCCGGAAAGAAGAATTATTATTTTGACAATGACAATCTATGAAATGATAAGAAAACCTCGGATTTGAAATCCTGCCCCCTGCTTCTAAAAAATTGCCAAACCACCCCCCATGCCAATCCGATCAACCATAAACATACTTTCAAAACCTAGAATGCGTCTCACCTCCTCCACTACCTTCATGCGCCCTTGTTTCCATAAAAAAACTACCAATGGTCTGTAACACCCAGAGAGCTCCTTAAGAGCTTGAATTGTATGGGGATTGCCAAGTCCCCGATAGTTCCATGATAAGATTCTCATTGCTTCCGACTGTCCTGTCCTACAGGACTAGCCGATCCAATAGCTTGATGAGCTTCCAATGAATCCACAACACTAGAAACATTAGTAGTCGGTTTAATTAACTTTGGAGGCCTTTTTTTCCCATCATCTGGTTTCAATATGCCTTCCTCCAACCCACTCAATGCAACACCATTATTTTCCACCAGTTGAGCATTCCACTTCATTCTTTGTCCCCCTTGCACCTCACAGCCCAAAACGCTGCCTGAAACTCATGAAACTTCAGAGGCAATGATCGGCCATCAAAAGAGACAGTCCCACTCTTATTCACGATATTAGTTAACACATCCCAATCCTCCCTTAGCCATGAACTCACTCGTTGGTTCTGCCTCCTAGAAGGATCTTTAATGGAATCATCCCACTATAATTGTAGCTCCTCCTTACGATGATGTAAGCATAACTCACAAAAGCTGTCCATGTGGCCAAGCTTGCCACACAAGAAACAGAAAATCGATAACTTTTCATAACGAAATAAGGCAAAATAGCATCGCCAGATGGGGTGATAAGTTTTTTCCTCCTTCGTAACGGTTTCGTTATATCCAGTCTAACCCGAATCCTCATGAACTTCCACATTGCAGGTAAAGGTCTCATATCATACTGGAGAAACTCACCAATAAAATTCCCTAACATTGTTGCTATCGCTCCATCATAAAACCTACCGGAAGGTCATGAATCTGCACCCAGAAGTCAGTTTTTAAACCATCAAAGGGTCTTCATCATCATGTATCCTATGCCAAACCAGTAGATGACGGTTGAAGTGCCACGGAGAGCCGTCATAACCCTTTCTAAGTCAACATCATTGTAAGAAAAGGAAAAAAAAAACGTTTGGCACCAAGGTCTGAAATTGTAACACCCCCTAAGGGATGCCATAGGTCAGCTATGGTATTTCGCATTGATGGAAAGTGGATTGTGTTCGGTGTAAGAAACATCCCAACCAAACAAAACTCCTATTGAGATTGCATTTGGCTAGGGCCAGAGGGGATCTGGTGTCCCTCGTCCTCTTTTGCAGCTAGGGACAGAGCTTCGAGGAGAAGTTTCCCTGGTGGTCGGTGAAAAACGAAGCCAAAAACTAGGGTTTTAGGTCGAGAGACGTAAACGTGCCATCAAGGCAGATAGGAGAAAAAAAATTATAATTGAATTTAGGCGAAATTGAAGGTTTAGGACGGAAGACTATTTAGTTTGCCTCTCAGTAAAGCTTGAAAAATCTCATACCCAAATGCGTGTCACCTTAATCGAAAAATTTAGTTTTGTACAACCCTCTAATGCGATTTAGTTTATCTAGGGACTGATCGGCGTTAATCGACGTCACTCATATCAGACCACTCCTCTAACTCCGAGAAGATGGAGAGCCAGTGGCTGGGACGACGCCCTTGTTGGCTCAAGCTTGAGGTCCCAATTCTCTCTACTTATGACACAGGCCTCGTTGGCTATGTTTTATTGTGTTTCTTTTTGATTAATTATGATGATGTTTTAACTTCTGTCAAGCAGCAGCAACCTGTTTCCCGATCAATTTTGCTTGCGAATTACAAGTGTTTACTTGAAGCTGAGTGGGTTATGGTTGAATAAGCTTTTTGGTTGGTTGCTTCCAATTTGTTCTGCAAGTCATTTTATTGCTTTCAATTTTGTTGTATACTTGGACTTGGTTCACTCTTTGGCGCCTGTAATTGTTGGTTGTGCATTCTTGTAATCTCTTGAATTCTATACCAGCAATTTTACAGTTTTGGTTGCTTTTTAATATACTTAAAAATAGCTTTTAAAAGGTATTTTGGAGAAATTTTCTAATCTCTCATTTAACTGGGGCTTTTTCTTTGACTTGTACTAAAAAATAGAAAAATTTAGACGAAAGGACAAAATTATATAACAGGGAAAACATTAGAGATATCGTAATGTATTTTAAAAATGGAAGGTTAAACTAATAATTTATGGCCAATTATAAAGACAAAATTATGATTTTTCCAGTCAATTTATCATCAACCATAAAAAAGAACGGACCCATTGTGGACCATCCCATCCACAGATCGAACCCGTTGTGGACCATTCCATTCCCAGATCAGTCTCCAAATACCCGACAGATCAGTAGAGACGCTAGGCCGTTCTTTGCTTTTCCTATAAAAGATGATAAATTGAAATTATGTGAACTTAATAAAATTAAGTATAAGATTACAAAAACTGGAAAGCCAGAGTCCAGTGGTATTAGTAACACAAGCTTCAAGCTTGTACAAGCATAGATCCCTTCAACTATTGACTCGTATGGGTAATTCTCTGCAGGACCAAGGGGCATCTTTGTCATGAAATATATAATAGTGAATCAACTTGTAACGCCCTTTAATCATATTCACTCTCCGGTTCTTGATCTTCAAACAAATCTTCAGCTGGGTCATAAACAATCATGTTGGGAAAAAGTTCCAAGAAATCATCTTTCACCTGCTCTCTTAAATCTGGATATGGAATGAGCCCTTTCAAGATCACTCGAAAAGGCAAAGATAATGGAAGATCTGGAGATTTTCTCATTTCCTCATATGTGTCCATTGCTTCTGATGGTAACCCACTATCTAAGAATGCCCTAATGATGTCCCCAAATGTATGTTGGTCAAACAAAACTCCCTCCCTCTTCAAATCTTGCCAAACCAGCTTCACTTCATCAACCTTCCTGTTCCTTGCAAGCATCATAAGCATGTCTCTGTAGAAGAACATATCCGGTCGATACCATATTTCTTTCCGCACAACATTATACAACTGAAAAACATACAAAAGACGCAAAGTGAATACTTGCATGCACCAAAAATGAGTAAGAAGAGGAAAAAATGTTGCAAAACTACAATGCAATATGCACATTTGTGTCTCTTGAAGTGAAGTAGCAAAACAATCACTACAGGAATACACTGTGACCTCATCTGTGAGAAAGGATAAAACAGAAATAATTCATTTACCAATTATATATTGGAAACAAAAAGGCTTTAATTGTATACCGAACAAATCACCAAAAGTCTCCTGCTTAATGCTCATCATGATTGTTAGGACATCAGGAACATAAAAGGACACTATCTTCCTTCATTCTTTCACTTATTGTTCAGCTATAAAATCAACAATCCTCACAAAATTTATTTGTTTAAAGTTAAGAATCTGACCCGGAACTTCAAGTTATCCATAGCCGCAAGTATAATAATACAAGATGACAAATGCCCAGACATTTAAATTACACGGCTAAACTGGCTAATTAGAGGCAGTCTCCAATTGAAATCAGTTTTAAATTGATTACACCGTGCAATGTAATCAATCATTGAAAGCTCACTGCAGCTCAAATACACCTTTATCCAAACAAATCGGCTTTGACAAATATATATATAAACTAGCAATATCCCGTGCTATGCATGGTTAAAGAAAACTTTAAAAAAAAATTTGAAAGAAAATAATATAATGTATATAGCTTGTTGATAGATTCTTGAGTAAAATTTTATATATTATGCTATTAAAACATATAAATAAAGATAGATGAATAATAAAAAATGCAGTCATGATTTTTTAATAATGAGAATGAAAATTAGTAGATAAACATGTATTGAAAATAGTGGAATTTATAAAGATAAATAAAAAAATGAAATAAAATGAGAATGAATTAGTTTGATTTATTTTATAATTAATATAAAAAATAACTCCCTACATTATTAAAATCTACAAATTAAGTAATTCGTTTTAAATATGATAAGCTCCACCATATTAATACAATTTAATTCAAAAAATAAATAATTATTCAAAAAAATAACTCCCTACATTATTAAAATCTACAAATTAAGTAATTCGTTTTAAATATGATAAGCTCCACCATATTAATACAATTTAATTCAAAAAATAAATAATTATTCAATTTAATTCCAAATTATTTATTTTAAAATTAATATAAAACAATAACCACATTATCATTTAAATCCACAAATTAAGTAATTTATTTATATCATTAAAAGCTATATAAGTTACTTATTTAATATATTATTAAATTTCTAACCTTATACTAATCAATTATACTTAATATAATTTAATTCAATCAATAAACAATCATAAATTCAATTTATTTTCAAATAAATATAAAGACAAATAATTAAAGCACATGTTATCATTATGCAATTTAAATAAACATAAAGCCAAAAAATTATAAAAATTACACGTCACTTATTTAGAATCCTACGTGGCAGCACCAAAGGAAAGTCTGCCTGCTTTATATATATATATATATATTATATATATTGATTCCCATCATATAGAGCACGGCACATACCATTTTATGGAAATAAAAGTCTCACCTCATTTAATAATTATGCATAATTAGTTACCCAAGCCAAAAAACTCACTTTGAAACCCAAAAATAAACTGAAAAATCCAAAATAACTCCTTGGTAGAGTTTTACTTCAGCAACTGAAAATAGTTGTTCTCATATTGGACTATTTCCCTCATAGGTGGTATATTAGTTTCTGTAAGCAAGATAAAGTTTTGAGTTTATACATTTCTTAGTTCCATCAAGATCTCAATAGCATACAAGCATGCTACAATCTAGAAGAGGATGAAATCAAATTGAACATATTGAATACTGAAACTATAAACTAACAAATAAATAACATCCAATTGCAAACAATAACTTAAAAGCAAAGAACTACAAGAAGGATTCCCTACTCCCATCTTGGCCCTTAAATCATTTTATCAGAATTGCAAAGCCCATAAAATCCAATGTAATAGGTTTCACTTATTAGATATTTTTTCAATTACTTTTGACCTCATTTTACTCTCTATTTAGTTGCCAAGAAAGCTCAATATTCAGGTCAATTAGAAATTGAATGTTCCACGATCAACCAAACATCCATCTTTATTCAACAACATCTTCAAATTATAAAATTTTTAAAATAAATTTATCCATTTCAAAATCTTCATTCATATCTATTTTCTTCTTCATTTGTTAAAATTATGTGAAATTTTCTAAAGACCATACCTGCACAGTGCTAAAATTTTGAAAATTCTTTTCCTCAATTTTCTGGGAAGCCAAACAAAACCTTAATTAATTCTTTTCCTCAATTTTCTGGGATAAGCCCAAACAGCCAAACAAAACCTTAATTTCATTCCCCATATTCTCCTACTTTTCTGGGAAGCCAAACAAAACCTTAATTTCATTCCCCATATTCTCCTACTTTTCTGGGAAGCCAAACAAAACCTTAATTTCATTCCCCATATTCTCCTACTTTTCTGGGAAGCCAAACAAAACCTTAATTTCATTCCCCATATTCTCCTACTTTTCTGGGAAGCCAAACAAAACCTTAATTTCATTCCCCATATTCTCCTACTTTTCTGGGAAGCCAAACAAAACCTTAATTTCATTCCCCACATTCTCCTACTTTCTCAGCAACAAAACAGAAAATTAAAACATAAAGCTAAAAATGGAAACAAACCTTCATGCAAAGAAAAACCTGGTCTTGCCTCTGGAACTCAGCAAGAACAGCAACAAGATCAGACTTCAGTAGGCGAGAAACATGAGACTTAATGAACCAATCAAGCCGGACAGGGTTTGACTGGAGTCTTTTGAGCTCCTTGGCTACAATTAACCCCTCTTTGCCCATCTCTTTCTTCCTCCTCCATATCGACAAGCTAGGCTTCGAGGACAAATTAGAAATGTGCTGTGAAAGAATAAACAGCTGTTGCTGTTTTTTCTGGTCTTTTACTGAATTAATTTTAGAGAACAGATGTGTTTGGTAATGAAGGTTTTCAAGAGGTGAATGGGAGACTAGAGGAGTTCTAGATGATGACGACGACGAAATTCTCCTCAGAAGATTTGAACGCCACATAGAATAACCAGGGAGACAGCCGTTTCCTGTTCACAGTTCTTCCCTCTGCAAGGAAGGAAATAAGCACAAATACATTGACCTAATGAGGTCAGGAGTTACTTTCAGTTGGGCAATGATATTTTTTCAGGGTTTTCAAACCCTTGTGGAGAAAATTATACCATATACAAATGCTCAAACAAACTGAACAACAAGCAACACATAAAATCAATGAGTATTAAGAGATTCAAAGTTTCAGGCAAGTAGGTTTTCTGGGTTTTCGATATTTAAAATCAATACTTCAATTTTCAACAGTTCAAAGGTTTGGCCTATTTCAATTTCTTCAGTATTGCATTTGGATTCAAGTATATATATATATATATATATGAAATTTGGATTTCAAATATTGGATTCGAAATTTAGAACTTGAAAGTTATAAATTTAAAATTCTTTGTTTGGCTAGCAAGAAAACTTTCAAATTCTGAATTTGAAATTTATTGTTTATAATTAACTAAAGTATTTGGTTTTTTGTCTTATATATTCATTGTCATATATTCATGATCAGATTAATGGAGAGTCTGAGTTCTTGGTGCTGGATCTAAGTCACCGAATCCATGAAGCTGCCCCTTCCTTATGGGTTCCATGGATTATTTTTGAGGGAAAATGACTCAGAAAAGATTGTGATTCATAGGAAATAGCATTGCACATGTAAATTATCACAAGGAGGCTGAATTCAGTATGAGTAATTTATATCCAGTTACAATTATGAGTAATTTATACTTTAACTGGCAATATCAACTAAGAAGCAAATGCAGACAGAGTTAACTTTAAGACTTGTTAAAACTATTGAAGACACCAAATCAATGCTCATGAGGCATACAACTTGTAAGAAAACACAGCAATTTCAGTATCCAAGAAATATGTCACTACACAAATCATCCAAGCAAGAATTCAAAAATGATACAAGAGAGAAATAACACTACTCACAGTTTATAGTTTTGCCCAAAGCTATTCTTCTTTTCCTGGTTTCTTGGAATCAGCAAAATATCTAAAGAAAACAAGTTCAATAAGCATTCTCATCCATTTGTTAGTTTACCATAGTTCTCTAGATTTCAATTTATCCATTCTATTTTACTTTAGTTTCCTTATCATATCACCTCCTATGCTTGTCTCAAGTTACCAAATTAAGTTTTGTAATCTTATCCTTAACTCATTTTAATTGCCTTGCCGAAAATCCAGCAACATTTCCCCTAAAAATTGGATCGACCATCCGCAAAGATCACAAAGATTTAATACATACTCAGCCAATTCATCGGGCAATCAACTCATCCACAAAGCCCTTCCTCCAATCATTAATAAATCCCAAGCTATAACATATATATTGTCATTTTCTCAACTTATACTCGTAACTTCACCAAGGCTCCAGTATGCCTTTTTTTTTTATTATCCAACATTCATTTCAAGACTCAAATTTCTAATACAATCAAGCTGTGAATACTTTAGAGCTGGTAATCTATACATTAGACTCTAACTATCGCATTAAAACTGAAATTGCAATTTAAAAGTAAATCAATAATTTCAATTGAAAATTACAATTAATTTAGAACTGGAGCCTAATGCTCACCAAATTAGGAAACTGCCTACACTATTGCAAACAGCTTGAAGAGAGAGGAATTCTGGCTTCTATGGCTCGCTGGAGCATCCCTAGCACTCCACTGCTGCTGTTGGCCGAAAAATGGGGCTGCCACAGAATTATGCCAATTTGTTCAAAATCACACAAGGGTCTCATTTCCCCTATCAATTTCTACGAACTAAGCCTAATTCCATCAATTTTCCAACTTTTATCTAATTAAAACCTAAATTAAAAAATACCAAATTTTATCAATTGATGCCAAAAAGACGCAAAGGAGATTGTAGAGAAGTGCTAGGAGATAATAACCAGCCTTACCTGGCCAAGAGGATCACTAGAAACGGCTAGAAGATGCCCGGAGAGAAATCTGTCAAGTCTCTCTCTCTCTCTCTCTCCTCACTAATGCATAAGAACCAACAATAAATGAGAAGAAAAACGCTATGGCGTGGAGAGGAGACGAGGTCCAGGGACCAAATAGCGTGAAACTTCAGTCCCTTGCCGTCGATTGGTAGTTAGAGTCGGAAGAAAATGTTTGAGCCGAGAGAGAAACCGAGTTGCGCGGGAGGAAAGAGGAAGGTTTGGCCGGCACCAGAGACAGAAGAGGAAGAGGAGTGGTTCAGTTGGTCAATGGAGGTGGGATTCGTGCCGCCGGTTTGGTTTGAGTTTTGCCGGAAAAACGAAGGTGAGAGAAAGAGGGAGGCTGTCGTGCAAGAGAGAGAGGATAAAGGGGTAGAAAATTCCAAGAACTTCAAAACTAGATAGCGTCATTAGTATGCAAACTATGTACTAAAAATTCATTTTCATATCCTCATCCTTATAAAATAACCTCTTTATCATTCTTTTATAAAAACTTAAATATTTCCAAAGTAAGAATCATTCACCACTTCCTACTCCGTGCTAGATGTCATATGATAGAGCATTTATCTATCCACTTATAGAATTTCACAAGCTTTTTCATTCAAAAGACTCTACGCTTCCACTCCTACGTATTCCTATAGCTGGAGAGAGAAGTTATTTGATACCAACTTTTAGTTCACCCACCTAAATTATACTTAACCACCTAATTACCAAAGTTAGGAGACCCCCAATTGAGCTGTTAATACTTCGCACCAATGCTTCTGAAAATTTGGCTAAAATTTTGTCAGCTATTCAATTTTCAATTTTTAAACATAATATTAAGAAAACAGTGTGGAAGTTGGCGCAAAAGATCTACTATGAACGGAGCAAAATGGAGACAATGGATTCATACAGTTAACCAACTAGTTTGGGATTAAGGCTCACCGTTGAAATGTCCAAAAAAAAAAACTAGCAAATAGGGTGTTGGTGGATAAGATCAAATGAAGAAGTAGACCTCACAGAAAATCAAGAAACCAACAAACAATCACCAGAATAAGACTTGTAGTAACAAATGTATATCAAAATCAAAACAAGAGCAGTTTAAATGTAAACTTCAAGTTGGATTGTACCTGAGTTGCCGACTTGGGCGGAAAGTAGAATATAAGCTAATTAGTGATCAATTGACATCAAACCAGGTGAGAAATACAGAGGAGAAAGATAAAGGTGGCAACCCATTTTGAAAGGGAAAAAAAGAATCAAGAAATCGGGAATGGGTAGAAAAGAGAGTTTACTATAGCCGAAGATAGAGTTAGTTGGTATTTTTCGACAATACTGGCTGTTCGTAGTTGTTTTAATAGTTAGAGGCTCCATTTGTTTCTATAATATTTTTTTACAACATTGTTTGATGCTGTTCAAGAAAAGTCAACTGAAAATATTTTCTTGGTCAAAGGAAAATAAGTTATTTTTAAAGAAAATGACTCCCCATTTTCAAGAGCGTAAAACATTTTTTGGACTTTGACAAATTTATTATAACCTGATAAATTTATATTTTTAATTTATTAATCATCAATAGCCACTACTAGCTACCGTTCACCATGCCACCACCACCAGTCACCGGCGACTTTCATAATTTACCATTTTTTTGCGTCATTCTCATATTTAACAATAAAATTTTTAAAATACGAAATTTATATTATTTGTGTTTCATATCAATATTATCTATGTGTCTACAACACTAGTTATCTAGGACATGTCTTGTCAAGAAAAAAGTCTAAACTGAAACAATTATTTATCCTTGTATCACAGAGAGAAAATAATTAGATTTTTAGAACGAGAAATGACTCTCTCTCCCGATTTTCGCAAGAGCGTAAAACATTTTTGGCTTTGACAATAAAAACGATTTAAATTTAGTATTCTAATTAATAATCTAATCATTCAATTGCCAACTACAGCTAGCGTCTCTCAACCCATCTCTCTACCTATCTCACTATCACACGCCTCGACATTTCATCAATACCATTTGTTTGTAATGCTTACAATTCCTCATAGTTATAAGACATATAAATAGTTATTTAAGAAATTGAAATAAATTATATTAATTATTATTTATAAATATTATGTTAATAATATTATGAAAGTTAATAAATAATAATAAATATATACTAATCTATTAGTGCAACTGCATAACAAATGAATTAAATAATATTTCTATATAAAATCTTATAAAAAAATACGAAATTTATATTATTATTATTATTATTATTATTATTATTATTATTATTATTAACTTATGAGTTAAAATTTTTAATATTTTTAACTAATTTTCAATAGTGCAACCAAACAATGAAAAATAAATCATTTGGAAAATATTTTCTAAAAACGGAGCCTTAGTAATTGTTAGTTGTTTAAGAAGAGTTGAAAACAAAAGTGATCGGTAAAACACTTGTTTGATTGGCTCAAAAAAGACATTGAATTTTCACTTCTAATTTCACTTATAACTGTCATGAACCGAAACCGTGGGCCGAACTGGCACTAGGGCCCAAGTAAACTTAAAGCCTTCGAGGCCCGTAGTAAGCCTAAACCACATAGTTCAAACGGATTCCTAGGAACATTAAGCCCTTATTATTTTATATATAAGTCTAATGATCACATATCCCTAGTCTAATTTCAACATCTTAAATTAATTCATAATTCGAGCCTATTTACAATACATAACATCTATAATATGGGCTGACTAATTTATATATGCACTTAGACAAGTAACTAAAATATCCAAAAGTTCATCAGTTCACATGCTCTAATAATACATATCTAGAGTAATGTAAATCCTACAACTGCGGAATTCAATACTAAATAGATGTAATAGAGTCCTTATATATAAAGTTACATAATTTAGATAGCTACAGAATTTAGAAATTTACTTTTATAGCCCTATGGAGAAGGATGCAAGGCTTTAGCCAAAACAACGAAGATTCTACTTCCTGAAAAGTTAAACAAAAAAAGAGTGAGTTTTTTAACTCAGTGAATAATAATAAATAATGCATAACACATGCATTCACACAAAATACTTCCTAAATTCTTAAAATGAACACTCAATCAGTCAAGCACATGGCATAACATCAGCATCTACATACAATACCACGTTCACATAATCAAGTAAGTGGAAATTGGTCTGTGGCGTCATCAAAACCCTCGACGAGCCATCATTACACATGGCCCGTCCTCTCATGATGTGTGCACCAGGGAGCCGATCCATCATACATGGCCGACCGGTCTAATCCTCACTTGACCAGCCCTCTCATTTTTTCTATACTCTCTTTTCTTTTCCATTACCAACAGGAGGCCACCTATGGTTTTTCCATATCATCCATTAGATGCACACGGGGGCACCGATCTCCCGTACATGGCCAACGGTATCATAACTCACAAACCCGTGGTGACTCACTTCATCCCAATTCCACACAAACAAGGCACAATAATATCACAACACAAATAATCAAACAATTCACTTAGTATAATGCACCAAATTAATAATTAATATGTAAACATAAAAAAATATAATTAAGATGTAAATAAATGTATATAAATATATTCATCTATTAATAATAACATGGTAATATAAAAATAAATGCTAAGTTATCTTTTATATATTTCTTTATAAAGTAAATAATATATGCATGCAAATGATTGTATGCACTATTTATTATTACTCACTGTGATAGAGAAGAAAAGAAGCGCTAGTTCGAATTTTGACTAGTAGGAGTGGTAGATGAACTCGGACGATCTAGATAAAATACAGGTACAAAGAAAAGGACTGAATTAAATAAAGAACTTATTTAAACAGAGAATTAAAGAATTAATTTAATAAGTTCATTTACATATCTAACTGATATAACTAATCTAAATTCTACCAAAATTTCAGCAGCATCTCCCCTAAAAATAGGACTAAATATCACCATAACACTAAATATCTTTCAATCAATACACACAGCCCATCCGTCGGGCAATCAATCAAATCAAATACCCATCCTCCTTCAATAACAATATCACCAATCAACCATACTTTACAAATTAAAATACCTTCAACTTATTTTAGGAATATTATCAATCATTCTTTGCTTAAGGTATAAACAATATCATTAAACATTTATTAAAATTCTAGACTAGCTATTAAAAACCAATACTTCAATTAAATTATAATTTAATAAATACTTCTACTAGGTAACCCAACTTGAAACTTAAACATATAATAAAGCTTCATAAATTTTTCTCTGTCTTGATATAAAAAAAAACCACTTCTAGATATAGCTAAAGAGTTTTACAATTGAATCATTAATTTAGCAAGAATATTGCTATCAAGCAGTAACCAATACTAACCAACATAAGAGTATTGAAAATATAAATATATACATATATCTGTTTCCATACCAATTATTTAAAACGGTACGAAGTACCCGAAATAGCTGCTGCCCCCAAGAAAAATATATTTTCCTTAACTTAAGCTCATATTGCATTAAGAACTTGGTTTATGACTTCGCATACTCATCCCAAACACTATAATTCAAGAAATCAACTAAATTAATTACTGCTAGCTTAAGGAATTCAAGATTTTCTATTTAATACCCTATGACTTCGCCTGCATACTCCATCCCAAACACTAATTAATTCAAGAAATCAACTAAATTAATTACTGCTAGCTTAAGGGAATTCAAGATTTCTATTTAATACCCATTAAGTATATCCCCTTGGTTTTGCTATAATTCAAGAAATCAACTAAATTAATTACTGCTAGCTTAAGGAATTCAAGATTTTCTATTTAATACCCATAATATATCCCCTGGTTTTGCACATTGCTTAATAAAAATTTAGTTTATAACTCATTCAAAATGGAAACAATTCAATAATTCCTTCATAGGATATCAAGAACTTGAACATATAGCTAACTAACTATTTTCAACCTAAAGAATGCTTAATTCTTCACAAGGATTTATAATAAACGCAATAATCTAGCCATCTCAATATAGGAATCAGTTTATATACCAATTTCAAAAGCAAAAATTCGAAATTGCTAATCACATTCACCTAAACAGTAGCTAGATATATAAATTTCTGCAATAGCTCAAGTATTAGCAATAATAATTGCGGTCATAATCATGCTACACTCATTCTTAAGCTAAGATTACCTTAATCACACTGATATATTCACCAAAATATGTTTTAAATAAAGTTAGCAAGAAATTAATTTAAATTTTCTAAGATATTTATATGAACAGCAGTATCTAAGGCTTTATTCTACAGTAATTCAATTAACACATCAAATCCTATAACTATACTCAATGAATTCATGAAAAATATACTGAAAAAGGGTCAACAATCAATTTACCTAGCTATGGAATCAAAGTCCGGTTCTGCCGTCGTTAACTTGGCCGGAGAAGGGAGCCGTGACGTGCGATGAAGAGCTGACGACGAGAAGAGAGCCAACTTCGCCGGCTGGTGGCTGGTCTTGCTGGAAAAGCGAGAAGAAGCAGCTGAAGGTGGCTGTGGCTATCGGAGTAGCACGCCCGACCCCTCCCCTTGTAGCGCTAACCGAGACTGGACCGAATGAGAGAGAGAGAAAGACCGGAGGTGCTAAGGACGAGGTGGGATGGCCGGATAAGGCCGGTTTCGCCGGAAGATACAAGGAGTAGCTGAAGATGCGCTATCCCAATCGGAGCGGAATCGTAGCTCCCTATGATTGCTACGCCAGCCAGAGACAGCAGCGAGGAGAGAGAAAGAAAAGGTGGCGGCCAGGCGGTGGTGACATGGAGAAGGTCCGATCGGCAAGGCTAGGGGTGATGTTGCCGAAAAAACGAGACCAAGGGGGGAGAGCTGCTGCCGGCAAGGAGAGGAAATTTGTGTTAGGATAAAATGGGTATTTTCCATAATTTAGGGCTTTCTTGTTAGTTCTAGGATGGTTTGGGTTTGATTTGGATTCGGTTTGGTCCAAATCATGAGTTTAGCTTGGTTTTCCTATTGGTTTGTTGATTTACTTAGGTTTGAATTGATTTAGAAAATTTGGTATAGCAATATAGAATGCATTTACATTAAATAATTTCATAGGGTATTAATTAATTTATTTAATGTAATAATATTCTATAATATCATTGGTTTAGAATTAAACAATTAAATTTTTAAATGAAAAATTTTTGAAAATAAATTTTCGGGTGGCTTCAATAACCATAGAATTAAATTCATAATTAAAAAAAGAAAAGATGATTTCACTGAACCTAAATTTTCAAAATTTAAGGGAGCAAGCATTGAAAAGTTTACTATTTCATAAATAAAAATGGAAAATTTTAATGTTTTTGGGGTCAATATTTTTAATTTTTAATATTTGCTTAAGTTCAAATACAAATATATAAACAAGCATTTTTTAAAAGGAAAAATAATTGTTTTTGAAAGGAAAAATAATTGTTTTTGAACTAATGAGTTGGAGCTGTCTATGATAATTGACTTGAACAATTTATCAATAATATTAGAAGGAAAAGATCCGCGCATGCATTCATATGTCCTTTGAATTCAATTCAGCAAATAATATGATAATGGAAGGATTTTGACTTAATTAATGTGAGTTGGGATATAATGTGAGTTGGGATAACGTTTTATAAAATGGAAGGATTTTGACTTAATTAATGTGAGTTGGGATAACGTTTTATAAAATGGAAGGATTTTGACTTAATTAATGTGAGTTGGGATAACGTTTTATAAAATGGAAGGATTTTGACTTAATTAATGTGAGTTGGGATAACGTTTTATAAAACGCTTACTTATCATCTAAAACGCTACTTTATGTATCAAGCAATTGAACGTTATATTTTAGGAAAATAGTTTTTTGACTAAATCAAAATATTGAAACTATGTTCAGCAACGACTTTTTAAATAGCTCAATATAATATTTAAACTAGCTTTTAGAAGTTAAAATAGTATCTTATAAATAGTTAATTAATATAACATTTAGCTTTTAACATTTTACGAAAAATTACTCAAATATCTAATACTTAAATGTTATTAAGGGCTTGTTTGGTTCAATGATTCATATCGGCTGGTAGCTAATAGCGGTTGTTGGTAGTTGGTGGTTGATGACTGATAGCGGTTAGCTGATTATTGTTGGTGTTTGAGAAAATTTTAGAAGCGTTTCCTATTAAAATATAAAATAAATATTATAAGCATAATTATTTTTATATATTATGATGTCTAATATATATATATCTTTTTAATTTAAGGTGAATCTATTATTTTTATTTTAATGTATTACATAAATAAAAATATTAATTAAAATTTTAAAATAATATTTAAGAAAATTTTTTAAATAATTATAAAAAGGGAAATTTTTTAAATAATTAAATAATATTTAAGAAAATTTTTTAAATAATTATAAACAAAATTATCATAAAAAATATTAACTGATTTTATGAGGTTAATGAAGTTCAAAATAATATAAATACGAATCAGCTACCGACTGATATGAAAAAATTCCTAAATGTAGTTATAGAAACAACAGCTGATTGAGACTTTTATCAGCTATTAACTGCTAATTAAAAAAGCTTACCAAATACCTATACCTTAGTTGTGGGTATAAAACAGCTATCAGTTGCATGAATCAATTAAACCAAACGCACCCTATAACAGCTAACAAATATCAAAACAGTTAATTTTACTGAAGAAACTTTAAAAGTTACACTAAATGCACATCCGGAGAGAGTCACGCTTTTGTGAATGTCAAATGATGAGCGATGCATCCACCGTGTAAAAAGAGGGGTCGATTGACCCCTTTTTTCTGGAATTTTTAATATATTATCAAAATTAATGCATAAAGTACAATTTATTTATGTCTTTGACCCTCTTTTTGCAAAAAAATTATATATTGACAACAGGAAAAAAATTAGATTTGTTACTGCAAATGATAATTTGAATGGTACTTGAGACTTGCAAAATTAACCGCATTACCTTGAGCCTTGAGGGCTCGTCTTTTTTTTTTTTTTTTTTTTTTTTTTTTTTTTTGTTTTTTTTAAAATCTATTTTCTTACAAATTTTCGAAATTATATTTCAACCATTAGAAGCTTAAATGAAAAAATTTTTTTTTTTTTTTTTTTTTTTAAAATCTATTTCTTACAAATTTTCGAAATTAATTTCAACCATTAGAATCTTAAATAAAAAATTTAGTGTGAAACAATAATAATTTAACACCTCCAAATTGAGAAGAAAAGAAAAGGAAAAACTTTTTTTTTTTTTTTTGATAATAAGGAAAAACTTTTAAAAGCCATTAATAAATTTTTGTTTAATTTAGTAACTGCATAATAGTAAGTTAATTAGATAAATTTTAAAACACACTATTCATAAAATCAGTTAGTAGTACATATATTTTTTTAATTTAGATTTTTGTATCTAATTGATTAAAAAAATTGTATGGAAAATAAACAAAATATTTATGAAATAATTAGTTAACAGGAAATTTACAGTATGGTCTATAGTTTGCGAAATATAATTAATATGTTCTTATGTTCTTAGAAATATACTAAAATTTCCTTATATTTTATTTTCGTCGAACCGTAAAGGCCATCCATCCAATTTTCGTATCTTTTCGTTAAGTATCTAATTGTCTCTTTTCCATTCCATCACAATTCTGAGAACCATAGTAAAGCTTCACTGAAATTCTACACTGAACATCACTAATCCTAATGTCAATTACAATAGCATACCAAAACAAAATCATCACTACACCAAAACAACACATAAATCGCCTCCCATGATCATTACTACAAGCTATTACAAGTCAAATCACTTGAAAATTATAATGAGCAATGAGATGTCCGCCCACATCCAAAGCAGCTTCTCCCTCCTCCAATTTCTTTGCAATTGCTCCTCCAACTCGTTTTTGTCCGTAATAGGCCTAGCATAATTCTCGATGCTCTATCTCCCACTACTGGGTCTATCCACTCAAAATAATCACAACCTTAGCTACGATCCACCTTTAGGGAAGAGAAATAGATGAAATTAACTGCGCATAAAAGATTCAAATTTGGAGAACAAGCTAGCATACTTACCAATCAAGTCTTACAAGCCACGAAACCCCTTCCAAGATTCCAATGTGGTCCATGAAGTTCTCAAAGGGCATCCCAATCCACATCTACAGATGCGATAGTCCATGGAATCATGTTCTGCATTCTCTATTTGTAAAGACAGACAAAAAAGATACCCTACAATGGTGCAAGAGCGTGTTAGGGGAAAATAAGTAAGGGTATTTTTGAGATTCCTTGCAAATAAATAGACATGGATTCGATATGTATTTCTCTTTTTTACAGGTCATGTGACACATCATTAAATGTGGGGCACACATCTGCAAAGTCAGAAATCTGGTGATAGATGTTGGCTAAAGACACCTGATTGCACTTTTTAAATTATTTAGACACTCAATTGAAAACTTTTTCCATTCAGGCATTCAAATAGAAAAGATTGAAGAGTTTAGGCACTAAAATTATCGATATCCCTTATATTGCACATCCATATACCTATGTATGCCCAATAAGCCTTACAAATAAAAAATCTTTTTAGGCAAATAATTACCAATTCCTAAACCTCATCTAATTTGGAGTTACAAATATAATTGTTTACGTACACAATATACAGATCATGTGATACATGTAAGCAGCCACATGTGCAGCCAGCTGTAGCATCTGAAGCCGCGCCACGTCGTTCAACAAGAATGGCAAAACCAAATCCTAAACATATGGAGGAAGCAGCTGCGTGAACAGTGCCTTGTTGGAGTATGGCTATGTGAACAGTACCATGATGGAGAAAATAACGCAGAGGAACGAGTCTGCAACTAAATCTGTTTATTTCTCAGTTTGTTAATTTCAATTTTCAGTTTGTTAATCCCGTACATTAAGGGATATTTGTTGATGTTTCAATTGTATAAATTCAGCTCAAAATAATGAAGTAGGGGGACTTCTACATCCACACAAGTGTTACAGTTAAATTCTTTTCTTAAAAGAACACTATCCTAAATACTATCTAACCCCACGTTCTTGCGTACTTTGATCGGGACCGCATCAGTGGTATCAGAGCATGACGACGAACAAAGAATGAATCGACAAACTCGAAGCTAGTCTTGGAGGGTTGCAAGATACTTTCAGTCGCTTGGAAGTTGGAATGAATGAAAAGTTGCGCAGTCTTGACGAAGCTTTGAGTAAAATTTTGGAGGCTGTAATTATGCAACGCAGTACAGTGGCGAGCAGTTCGGCTGATGTACTATCAGGACCACCTGTGAATCGACAGCATAGTCTCCAAGAGGTAACCGCAGAAGGTGGGCGCCAATTGTTTATGTCCAAACTAGCAAGGTGGGACTTTCCTCGATACTCTGGAGATGACCCAACTGAATGGTTCACTAGAGTTGAGCAATTCTTTGAATATCAAGGTACTGGCGAATCGGAGAAGGTGGCATTAGCTTCTTTTCATCTAGAAGGAGAAGCTAATCAATGGTGGGTGTGGCTTCGCCGAGCATTGCAGGAGGAAGGGAATGTCATAACTTGGAATTATTCCATGATGAATTATGGGCCAGGTTCGGACCAATCGACGGGGACGATTTTGACGAAGCCCTTTCCCATGTGCAGCAAATTGGCTCTTTGAGGGACTACATCAGGGAGTTCGAGCGACTTGCTAATCGGGTGCAGGGATGGTCGATGAAGGCTTTGGTGGGCACATTCATAGGTGGCCTAAAGCATGATATTGCTGACGGCATATGGCTGTTTAAACCCAAGACGTTAAAAGAAGCGATTGGGTTAGCTCGCATGAAGAATGAGCAGATAGAGAAACAAAGGCGAATAAGCAGGAACAATTGATTTACCCAATTCAACTCACCA